AGATCGCAATCACATCCTCACCAAACATTAATCTGTTCCTCTGAAAGTTTTAAATGGTTTATTTGAAATAAGACTAAAGAAAGTCCATACTTGGATTTTTCAACAATAGTATACAGGCTGGATTCTGACCATGGGTGGTTCTATACTAAAACAGTCACTAAAATTTGTTTTGCATTTTACACAGCTACTAACATTCTTTTACAAAGACCATATAGTTTTAAAATTTTCCCCTTGATCTCTAATGTTATAAGTTTTTTGAAAAAGAAAATTTCTATGTATACTATGGAATGCCTTACGATAGTTCACAGAGCAACAATAGAGTTTTTTCCCATTTGAAATTTGTTTATCAGTTATACTTTGCAGTGCAAAAATTGCGTCTACAAGTGGTAATGCAGCGTTTATACATTGTTCCAGAAAAAGACTGTTAAAAATCATTTGTCAGTTTTAAATATTTTCATTATTTCCAATGGACAATTGCTTTTTCCGTAAAGAATAGATCTCGGAATTTTTTATATCTTGTGATTGGTCATCTACATTATCATTTTGTTACAAATAATTCTGATTCTAAACACAAGTAGTCTGAAGTTGATATTAAAGGATGAATGGCGGAGTTCCTCATTGACAATTCCTTTATTAAAAGATGCGTATGTTCCTTATTGACATTTTTTATATAGTTTTTGGAGATCATTTAGCTAGCAAACTTTTGAAATTCCCATGGGTCTAATTGTATTGTATTGTAATTAATAATAGAACTGTTTTTTTTTTTTTTTTTTGTACTCTGATGAAGCAGAATTTATTTTAAAAAATCTACATTAAAAGAAGTCTTCCATATACATGTACTGCATGAAGCTGACGGTAACATTGAACATATTCACCCCCAAGAAAACCATTGTCAACCGAGGCGCAGTATTTTTATATTTTATTGAATGTTTTACACAAATATGAATTAAGAAATAATTCCACACAGTCATCAGGGGGGATTTCACACGCTGTCAAGCAATTTTGACCGTTGCTATGCTCTATCGCGCTGTAGGTCGTTGTTTCATCATTCAGAGGGTAACAGTGTTTTTATTTTTCAACAAATATTTCTCGACAATTCAAGTAATTTGCATTGAAAGTATAATATTTATATAAAATGACGAAGTTTTATCAATTGACATCATTCTTTGATTCGATATATCCAATTGAACTCATAATAAAACTTACTATAGAGTCTGCTACACATGTTTAATAATTGGATGATTTACAAAAGAAAAACTTTTATTGCAGACTTGCAATTAACTCTATAATAAATGATGACTTCAACTTTTCTCATGTTAATGTCCGTTATTTTGTAGCAATATTCGTTTATCACCTGCATATTGTGTTTACAAGAGTATGAGTGTATGAATAATTTCTAAATCGAGGCAGACAACTGACAAATAAATTGATTTTACATGGGTATCAACAATCTTCTTTTAGCTTCAACATTTCGCGAATTCTAGGGTGACCTTGTTTGCAGAAACAACCTGCCGCTCAGTCGGATGTTGACTGACGTATATTTTACAATTGTCCGGCCATTATTTTTATACTGAATTGTCTACGGATTACTCCTATTACCAGACCAAGACAAAAGATTCACGTCGACGGGGGATGCTCACTCCTACACTGCACCTGATCCCAACTCTGATGTTTTCCGAGATCCATCCATGTTTGTTTTGTGGACTTTTTTGCATGATTTCTGTTGTTATCTTCACATTTCATTAAGAATTTTCATTGACAGTATTTATGTTGCCTTTGGAGATCAGCCTGTTGGAATTCTCATTAATTCTTTCCCTTTATTAACCTACCTGTTTTTAGCTCACCTGAGCCGAAGGCTCAAGTTAGTTTTTCTGATCAAAATTTGTCCGTTGTCTGTCGTCGTCGTCGGCGTTGTTGTCGTTGTCTTTGTAAACTTTTCACAATTTCATCTTCTTCTCCAGAACTTCTGGGCCAATTTCATCCAAACTTGGCACAGAGTATCCTTGGGTGAACGGGGTTCAAGTTTATTCAAATGAAGGGCCACGCCTTCTTTCAAGGGGAGATAATCATGAATTCATGAAAAATTAATGGCATCATTTAAAAATCTTCTTCTCAAGAACCACTGTGCTTGAAAATATGAAACTTATATGGAAGCATCCTCAGGTAATGTAGATTCAAGTTTGTTCAAATCATGACCCCCGGGGATAGGGTGGAGCCACAATGGGCGATCAAAGTTTTACATAGGAATATATAGGAAAACTCTTTAAAAATCTTCTTCTCAAGAACAGCAAAGCCATGATTGGTCATATTTATATGGAAGCATCCTCAGGTAGTGTAGATTCAAGTTTGTTCAAATCATGACCCCCGGGGGTATGGTGGGGCCACAATGGGCGATCAAAGCTTTACATAGGAATATATAGGAAAACTCTTTAAAAATCTTCTTCTCAAGAACAGCAAAGCCATGATTGGTCATATTTATATGGAAGCATCCTCAGATAGTGTAGATTCAAGTGTGTTCAAATCATGACCCCCGGGGGTAGGGTGGGGCCACAATGGGCGATCAAAGTTTTACATAGAAATATATAGGAAAACTCTTTAAAAATCTTTTTCTCAAGAACAGCAAAGCTATGATTGGTCATATTTATATGGAAGCATCCTCAGGTAGTGTAGATTCAAGTTTGTTCCAATCATGACCCCCGGGGATAGGGTGGGGCCACAATGGGCGATCAAAGTTTTACATAGGAATATATAGGAAAACTCTTTAAAAATCTTCTTCTCAGGAACAGCAAAGCCATGATTGGTCATATTTATGTGGAAGCATCCTCAGGTAGTGTAGATTCAAGTTTGTTCAAATCATGACCCCCGGGGGTAGGGTGGGGCCACAATGGGCGATCAAAGTTTTACATAGGAATATATAGGAAAATTGTTTAAAAATCTTCTTCTCAGGAACAGCAAAGCCATGATTGGTCATATTTATATGGAAGCATCCTCAGGTAGTGTAGATTCAAGTTTGTTCAAATCATGACCCCCGGGGGTAGGGTGGAGCCACAATGGGCGATCCAAGTTTTAAATAAGAATACATAGGAAAAACCTGTAAAAATCTTTTTCACAAGAACAACAAAGCCATGATTGGTCATATTTACATGGAAGCATCCTCAGGTAGTGTAGATTCAAGTTTGTTCAAATCTTGACCCCCTGGGGTCGGGTGGGGCCACAATGGGCGATCAAAGTTTTACGTAGGAACACATAGTAAAAACTTTTTAAAAAAAACTGTTTCTTAAGAACAGCAAAGCCATAATTGGTCATATTTATATGGAAGCATTTTTAGATAGTGTACATTCAAGTTTGTTCAAACATGACCCCTGGAGGTCGAGTGGGGCCACAATGGGTGATCAAAGTTTTACATAGGAATACGTAGGTTAAATCTTTAAAAATCTTCTACTCAAGAACAGCAAAGCCATGATTGGTCATATTTAAATGGAAGCATCCTCAGATAATGTAGATTCAAATTTGTTCCAATCATGAACCCCCCCTCCCCCCCCCCCCCCCCGAACCACTTTTATATTAAACTTTTCAACCTTTCAAGACTGAACTGATTTCTGCTTTTTCCTAGCCATAGTGCTCAGGTGAGCGATGTGGCCCCTGGGCCTCTTGTTACATTATTGTAGCAGAAATTATTGAAAAATCTCTTCATGAAAAGCAGTCTCTATGCGTTGCCTTTAATTCCACATTTGGATACAAGTATATCGACGATGTTACACCAACACTCAAAATTAGACACCACTGAGTCTGACACGTCTGTTATATACCTTGGAGATTTTACTGAAAGCATCCCCTACTGAGATTTGCATGATTCAAGATATTATCTATAGCATCTATAACATCGATTTAAAAGAATACTTTATTGAAAAAAAAAAGTTTTACCTGTGTGCATTTGTATACATGTACGTGTATTTTGGGAGTTAAATTTTTGTATCAAAAGCTTTGATTTCCCAATTGCCAAGATGGTGGAAACTTCACAGACTGGAAGAAAAAGAGACCCTCCCAAATACTATATTAGTGTTATTTGATCAAAAGATAGCATTTTAATAAATTTTTTCGTAATGTAAGAATATTAAGAATGCTGTTTTTTTATATAAAGTTCCACAAACTGGATATATTTGGGAAAAAGCTATCTTAGCACTCTGTATTTTGTCTTACACTTCATTTATTTTAGATAGTAATAGACCAAAGACCTATACACTATACATGTACATCTTAGCACTCTGTATTTTGTCTTACGCTTCCTTTATTTTAGATAGTAAAAGACCAAAGACCTTTACATTATACATCTTACTCTGATAAGATATTTTGCAAACATGCACACGATGAGCGTATTTCAACACAGTTAAGTGTTTAGCTTAACTATATCAATAGGAACTCTCACAGTAAGTTGTACCTCATCAAAGTCAACAGGAACTCTCACAGTATATTGTATCTTATCAAATTCCTTTCTTGACAAAATTGCAATCGTCATTAACGGGGTTTTTTCACCAGCAATATCCCTTCTGCATAAAATAGTGGGTAAGGTGTTTACGCTGTATTCACAAAAAAGTTTAAAAATTTGGAAAAATACAATTTTTTATCTTCATTGAAAATTAATTCTTTCATAAATGATTAAATGCTGTATTTTACGATAAACGGGGATGATGAAAATTCAGTGTTTGGAATAATATAATAAAATCTGTTCAGAATATGTCCTTTTTCAAACTAAAACTGAAATTTCTAATAAACTAACATAATTGTTTCTCACAAGAGATAGTATTTAGTATATTTTTGAACCCTACAATTTCAAAATCATTCTCCCTCCCCTTCAACTGTCCTTCAGTTGTACATTACTCCGGTATTACATGCTTGTCTGCTTATTGATCGTACTGTATGTATTATTGGGGAGATGACCTTCTCTGAGGCTGTATTGCTGCTGATACGCCAAGACAATTAATTGTACGCGGCAGAAACAACCGTGCTTGGCCAAAAATCACTCCGTTCCGTCTCCTACTGCAGATAAACTCTGCTTCTTCACCTGAGACTTTGCAAGGTAAGTTAGATCTCAAAAAGAATCATGTATCCTAAAAATGTCGCAAATATTTTTTGCGATTTTGGTTTAATAATTTCTAAGAGTTTTTTTAATTACATACTTTCTTTCAAATAATTTATTGATTCAAGAATGGTGAATTGTGCTCTTTGATACGATTCTCTATATGATAAGTAAATCGGCAAAATTCATCAATAATTTATTTGGTTAAGCATCGCCCTTGTAGTGATTATCTTACTTGTGTGACTTCATTCATGTACATGTATCTCCTGTAAATTGTCGCCAAAAGGAACTGTCTTGTAGGTATTTTATCACTTCTAGAAACGTATGAAGGTTTAGGTAGAAAAACATAAATAAGATGTGGCCCCATCCCTGAGTATATTTTTTTTTTATTTTTTGGATTCCATGGGTACCATTTTGGTGGGTTCTGGTATATTCTAATAGTCTTTTTTCAACATTAATGTTTATTTGATAAACATAATTTAGAAGCATTACTTAAAAACAGACTTAAAATGTAAATTTGATTTGTTTCAAAAATGAGATTATTTTTTGAGTGTTTGATCCAATTATAAAACATGCGAGATCAAATTATCTTTTAGTACAGATGAACAGTGATAATCCTGTACATAAAAATGCTTAATATATTTAAATCCCCATACCATGTAAGTAATTGATTTTAAGAACTTTTTCAATAGTTTTAAAAATAAAGGTCCTTCTAGTCCGTTTTAAATGTCAAGAAATTTTGGAATAAAAGACTGCTGAAAGTTCTATAAATTTTCACTTTATTTTTGACTTTGACTTTTAGGATTTTAAAGGGCTTAATTTTAAAAGTAAAATTTATTCAATAAATCATTGTGCTCTTACATAATCTTTAGTGCAGAGGTCCGCTGTATTTAAACCAAAAAAGTAATTTTGCGAATAATTTTGGTTCCTTATATTAATTTAAAACTGGTATCAATCTTTTTAAGAAGAATTTTTGAAAGATATTAAATGTCTCGTTTGAAGTCATCATTTCGCACGTTTTACGGTCGATAATTCAATTCAATTTGTTTATTTACCAATTAAGGGCCCTCATGGGACAAAAAGAAAGTACATTGTAAACACTTATATATAGTCATATACATGATACAAGGACCTTGTCAGCACATACAACCTATCATTGAGTCAAATGCTGACTGACGTTTTTATACTAATTGTTAAGCCATTATTTATACACTGAACTGTCTACGGAATTTTCCGGGTTTCTTTTCCTGATCATGACAAAGAGCACACGGCGGGTGTGACCGGTGTCGCATAATATTTGGTCCGCCTCGTATAAAGGTCCTGAGGAGCCTAATACGATAACATATCAGGTCCGCCTTTTATAAGAAAAGGTCCAGCCCGTATAAGAAAAAGGTCCGCCTACGTTTAAAGGTCCGGGTGGTGCAAAATGTTTTAATCTTGACTTAAACACATAAAATTAAAGAGAGTTTGTTTCATATGAAGAAAGGTTTACCCTGTTGTGTTTATTTTTTGTACAATATATCTCTAAGGCAGGAAATGCTCACTCCTCCATGGCACCTGATCCCACCTCTAAATTTTGAGGTCCGTGTTTGCTCTGCTCCAAATTCGTATCGTTTCATTGGACTTTCAAGATTGAATACTGTTCTTTATCTTCATATTTCTATTCATAAGCAAGAAATTTTTAAGAGAATAGATTTTGCAAACTTTTACAGTAAGCTTAAGCTTTGCTCGTAATTTTTTTTTTTTTTTAAGTATAGGGGCAAGAAACTTCCGTTGCTTAAAGACTCGTAATTATAAATTATGAATTTCCTCCCACTTTATATTGCACCGAGGTTTGGTGCCTGTTTTGATTATAAGCTGTATATAATAAGTTTTCATTGAAATCAAGGGATTCGCAGATTTATAGATTTACAATGAATGTATGACAATGATTAACTATATATTAAAGGATGACAATGTAATTTGTTAACATTTACCATTCATTATTATAATATAGATAATGAGATGCACTAAAAGGTATTTAGAAAGAAGAATAAATGCAGAAATTTCATATTAAACTCCTGGCTTTTGACCTTGGCTATTCTGTTCTTGATCTTTTTCAAACCGATTTTTAACTGATCTCCTGTTATATATATTTTAAAACAAGATGTGTTTGTGAAACACTGATGCCCCCGTATGGCAACTTATAGCAAAGGTTAAACTTTCTCAAATGCAAATCAAAAATGTTGGTATCCAAAGTAAGGTCTTGTCTCGAGGAAAATACCTGTGAAATATGAAAGCCCTAGCAGCAACCATTGAATAGATATAGAAAAGGTTAAAGTTTTTCAAAAGTAAGTCAAACATCAAGGTCAAATGATCAAAATTAATGGTGCCTAAGGAAAGGCCTTCTCACAAGAAATGTATAGGTGAAATATGAAAACTGAAGCACCAATCGTTCAAAGGTTATGACCAAAGTTTAAGTTTTTCAAACGTAGGTCAAACTCCAAGGTCAAGGTCAATGGATTTCAATTGCTGGTGTACAAAAGAAAGGTCTTGTCACAAGGATTACATATGTGAAGTATGAAAGCCTTAGCACCAACAGTTCAAAAGTTATGGCCAAGGTTAAAGTTTTCCAAAAATAGGTCAAATTCTAAGGTCAAGGTCAAAGGGTCAAAATTGTTGGTATCCAAAGGAAGGTCTTGTCACAAGGATTAGATATGTGAAGTATGAAAGGCCTGGCACCAACGGTTCAAAAGTTAGGGCCAATGTTAAAGTTTTTCAAAAGTGCGTAAAACTCCAAGGTCAAAGGGTCAAAGTTGTTGGTATCCAAAGGAAGGTCTTGTCACAAGGATTAGATATATGAAGTATGAAAGACCTAGCAACAACGGTTCAAAAGTTAGGGCCAAGGTTAAAAATTTTCAAAAGTAGGTCAAACTCCAAGGTCAAGATCAAAGGGTCAAAGTTGTTTGTATCCAAAGGAAGGTCTTGTCACAAGGATTACATATGTGAAGTATGAAAGCTGAAGCACCAATCGTTCAAAAGTTATGGCCAATGTTAAAGTTTTTTTTTCAAAAGTAGGTTAAACGGTCAAAGGGTCATAGTTGTTGGTATCCAACGGAAGGACTTGTCACAAGGATTACTCGTGTGAAGTATGAAAGCCTTAACACTAATTGTTCAAAAGTTATGGCCAAGGTTAAAGTTAGATAAAATTTTGCAAAACTGGGTTAAACTCCAATGTCAAGGTCAAAAGGTCTAATATAGTGGTACCCAAAGAAAGGTCTTGTCACAAGGAATACACATGTGAAATATGAAAGCCATAGCTCTAACCAATTAAAAGTTATGGGCTATGTTAAAGTTTTTGCGGACAAACAGACAGACAGAAGGACGGACAGGGCAAAAACTATATACCCCCGAATCTTCGATACGGGGGCATAAAAATATCGTTTGCATACGGCATGTTTGGCCATGCAATCATTTTGACCTTGACCTACAACTTTGACCTAATTTTCAATTCAATAAGTGTTGCTTACTCTTTTGAAGGAGCGAAAAAGGGCATTCATATTTGACATGTGCATTACCACGCATTATGTGACAAGCATTTCTAAATGTACTATGATTTTTAATCTCATAACCTTGAAGTCTGACCTAATTTTCAAAATTTTAACATTGCTGATAACTTTTGATCGAGAGAAGATATGGCATTTACACTTGACATGTGCATTACCTGTTTCAAGACCTTTCCGATTGTATACTCTGGTTTTTGACCTCGTGACCCTGACCTTAAAGTTAAACCTCCTTTTTTTCAAATTAATTTTACATTTGTAATAATTATTGAATGAGAGAAGATAAGAGTTTTCATACTTCTACCTGTATATTACCTATGACAACACTTTTCAGAAAAGTACATCATTTTTAACTTCATGACCTTGACCTAGAAGCTTTTTCTTTTCAAAACATTTAACCTTGACCATAACCTTTATGCTCAAGAAGAGACAGGACTTTCCTATTTCTTCACACGTGCATTACTTGTGACAAGGCCTTTCGAACTGTATTATAATATTTGACCTCATGACCTTGATCTTGAAATTTGATATAGTTTTGAGAAGCTATAATCTTGGCACTAACTGTTTCAATAATTTATGTCTTTTTTGCACGATGTACAAACAAGACATGACACACAAACAAGACAGTTACAATTATTGCTATAACTAATGGCATCCCGTCCACTAAGACACCGAAAGCGGGGGGGGGGGGGGGCACAATTCTTTGAATTTGCTTGTTAGAAGGCAAATTCTACTGCAATTCTAAGTCTTATACTAATAATCATTCATTTGAGCTACTGAAATTTCAGGACATTTACTTTCCAGTAAAGGATTTCTTAATGATCTCACTAGCTAGAATCAAATGGTTGTTACGTGTATAACTCTCAATAATGAAACTTCCATTTAGTTTTTTTTTTTGGTTCAAGTTGCGCGTATAGGAATCTCATAAAGCATGAAAAATAAAAATAATATTTTTCTACACAGAAAAAAACTATTTAACCTTCAATGTCTAAGATATATGTAAACAGACTGAAGTACACTGAGAATAAAACTGTTTCTACCATTAGGGACCCGCATTTTTTTCGGGGGGGGGGGGGGGTATGATATAAAGGTATATCGAGTTTGTCTATTTCCTTTTCAATAAAAGGCGGTTTACCCCCACAGAAATTTTCGAAGACAACGAAGTTTTAATTAGTAGAACTTAAATGGGGACAAAGCAAATAAAATGTTCAGTGTTCAGTTAATTATAAAATGTTCAGTTAATTATTCACGGTTTTAAAAAAAATGTTGATTAATTATAAAATGAGTAATAAACTGTTGATTTGTTTTTTAAAGATCAAAAGGCAGATCACTCTAACTGCAAAAATACCACAAAATTATAGTACTCTTCAGAATGCAGTGCATAAAATGTCCTTAAGAGAATACAATCTATTCGAGGGGATTCATTCATAGCCTCGAAAGAGCATTTTAAATGCAGATCAGAACTGGAATTGTTTATATATACATGTAATTGATATATCAATTACGATGGATCTTGTCTTCTGAGAATGGCGATCAATGAAAACCCAGCTGGCTTTTATCCTCCAAGTACTATGTACATTAGTAAATATACACATGTAGAACTTTATCCACCAAGTACTTCGTGCATAAGTGTATATACACATATAAAATGTACTCACACCTAGGCGAATTGTACAGATAATTAATTGGTCTCAGTCACAGGATACTTCTGCAGAACCTTATTCTTTGCAATAAATAATCAGTCTATTAGTGAACGTCTAAGAAAATATTCTGTATATGGATCATTCATAATAGAACTATATTACTATTTATGAATATCATAAACGTACAAATGTATGAGGAAGATTTATCTATACTTCCTTATTATTACTCACATCATATAAATCTGACAAAGTCAGGAATACCGCCGGAAGACGAGGAAAGTGTTTTTTGTGAATGGGGGAAAATTGCCAAGTTAAAAACGTATTTTGAATTGTGCATGGAAATCATTCTTATATGAGCGTTAACTACATTAAGTTTGGTGAGAAGCTTACATGTTACTTTCGTATTTAATACAAATCATATAAAATAAAAGGTATATTTTAGTTTAGCTACTTTGAATTTCAAATTATACTTTTTCTCGTGTTTATATCATTGATTACTCAGGACATGCTCTTACTGTTTAGGTACAATATATCAAGAAGATAAACTAATGATGGGAACTGAAGACAAACTTAAAGTTCTGATTTGTGGAGGAGGAAATGGTGCTCACTGTTTGGCGGGATTGTCAGCCAGTAAACCAGAACATGAAACACGTGTTCTTACATTATACGCCGATGAAGCAGAAAGATGGACAAAAATCCTTCAATCTGACGATTTGACGGTCACCATCATGAAAAACGACGGGAGTTCTGATGAGGTAAAGTCTAAACCTTCTCTTATAACAAAGGATCCTAAGGCAGCCGTCACTGGTGCTGACGTCATATTTCTGATTGTCCCTGCTTTTGCACATGAACAATATTTTAGAGAGATTTCGCCTTTTGTTGGTGACAACACAGTGATTGTTGGGCTTCCAGGCCAAGCAGGATTTGAATTTCAGTGTTTGAATATGCTTGGTGAGAAATCTAAAACGTGCACCATTATGTCTGCCGAATCACTCCCATGGGCATGTAGAATCTTAGAATTTGGTCGCCTTGTACAAATTCTAGGTGTCAAGGAAACATTGGGAGTTTCAAAACTTCAGGGGAGCCAATCAAAGTTGAAGGGATCGCCCTTTGAAATCGTTCAGAACGTTTTGGGCCCCAAGCCAGTCTTGAGAGAAATTCAGAACTACATTGCTGTAAATCTGATGGCAAAGTCTATCATTCATCCGCCCTTGATGTACGGGAAATGGTCGACGTTTGATGGAACCCCTTTGAATGAGAAGCCGCTGTTTTACCAAGGAGTAGACGAAAAGCAAGCCAAATTGCTGTCTGATGTAAGCGACGAATGCATCGCCATCGGAAAAGCAATAGAGAAACAGATCCCTGGGATGGACATGTCGGATGTTATTCATATTTTTGACTGGTTCCTCACCTACTACGCAGATCAGATTACTGACAAGACAAACCTAATGATGGCCATGCAGACAAACAAGGCATACGACGGTTTGCTCCACCCCATGAAAGAAGTGGGGGAGGGTCAGTTTGTGCCGGACTTTACCTACCGGTACACAGCGGAAGACATTCCCTTTGGTCTGGTTGTTATGAAGGGGATCGGTCAGCTGGCAGGAGTGCCTACCCCGGTGATGGATGAAATCATCACGTGGGCTCAAGACAAACTTAACCAGGAGTATCTCACTGGGTCCGAATTAACGGGGAAAGATGTGTCGAAGACAAGAGCCCCGCAAAGATTTGGATTTAAAAGTTTGCAGCAGTTGTTTGACTTTTAGTTATGCTGACATTTATGCACAGGACACTGTAATATGAGGGGGAATGTTTTTTACTCTGTCATAGATTCATACTCTATCAGAAAAGAATCTCCCAACAGACAAACGTTTGTAAAATTTATGGTAGAATACTTATGTACATAATACTTCGTTGAGGACAATCATATCTAGAATTCAATTATATTTAATTTATCAACTTCGTTTTTCATAGAACTTTTTTTACGACTCCTTGAAAACAACTATAATAATAATTTTCGAGTAAGATGATTGAAATGCGGTCATTCTAATCTCAGCTATAAAATTTCAATCGCTCCAAAAATCTTTCCCATTTTTACTTCCCAGCAATTGCAATATCAAACTGTAGAAGGCATTCAGTGATACATCCTCGCAAGCCAGGGGCCCTGAGTCAACACGTTGCCGTTGTGTTGACTCAGGACCTCTGGCTTGCGAGGATGTCAGTGATATATCTGTCACTGTTGCCATGAAAAACTACGTATCCATATACATGTAATAAATCCCTGTATATTTTTATATTGTTGTCGTGTAGCCTATTCCAATGCGATATTGTTAAATCATTTGACCTTGACCTTGATGTTTGACTTACTTTTGAAAAACTTTAACCTTTTCCAAATCTATTCAATGGTTGCTGCTAGGGCTTTCATATTTCATAGGTACATTTCTCGAGACGAGACCTTACTTTGGGTAGCAACATTATTGATTTGAATTTGAGAAAGTTTAACCTTTGCTATAAGTTGCCATACGGGGGCATCAGTGTTTCACAAACACATCTTATTCAAATAGAAATATTACAATATACTGTATATACATGCAGCACTAAATCTAAATAAAAGTTTTGTATGAGTCAAATGAGCATGCAATTTTTGTTCACTAAATTTAATTATGGCCACTGAATTATATGTATGTGCCAAATTCATATTGGATAAATTTATTCTTGATTTGTTCTTTAAAATAAAGTCTTCAATTCTCTTTTCATTGCCGGGAAGGCACTTTATGATAAATGTCGGAGATCAAAACTGTAAAATGTCGGAAATGAAAACTATAAAATGTCGGAAATGTAAAGTTGAATATCATACAAATTAGTATTTATAAATACAGATTACCTGTTTTGAGACGTTCCCTATATTTAAATTAAGAGCGACAACTCGAAACGGTACATTCATGATGCAGCATTCATGACCGGCTTGAATTAATTCTACAATAGTGAAGTCCAGCAGCATTCAGAGTATCCTGACACCTAACAGATTCCAAAACAGGTACTTGCATGTGTCTCAAAATGAAATTTTGTGCAATAAGTTTTATTACAGTATGTAGGAATTGAATGTCACGTAGGCCCTTTAACGTACGTTATATTTGTTTAAATGGGTTGTTTTTTTCCGGGGTAAACATTTTTTTTAAACGTCTGTCATGCACAGTGTGAATGAACTTGATAAGGTCTAATAATAAGCGGTTTTATGCAAACCAATGTTTCTGGATGTATACACATTTTTGACCTATTGACCTTGCAGTCTACAGCAATCAATAAATCTAGGAAGTTGTGCAGACCTCATAAAAAACCTCTCACGCTTAATCTATATTGTGACTCGCATCTCATTCTGTCAGGTATAAAAAGTGAAAATTTACTTATAAAGCGTGCGCCAATGTTGAATTTATCCTTGTCGACAGAATATGTAAAAAAAATTCTTGAGATCTTTAATCTTGGATTATTTGATGTCAGGTTCTATGGATATGAGCTTGGATAGTTTATATTTAATTTACCTTCTTGCGAGGAAGGTCAACTCCCGGTCATGACGGACAAATAGAGTCGTCGGACACTTTATATGGTGACTATTCTTACGCTCAACCAAACATTTAAGCAAATGGGAAACATCTTTAAAAAGACATTAATTTGCGGAAATTTTCTGTAAGCTTCAGACCACAGGAATTCAGGGTGCACCGTTTCAGTTAATCTTGGTACAGTCGGACTTTTTTCCCTATGGGATATAAGCAAGACTGTATATCCTTATTGTAGCGGATATTTCCGATATCAAACAATGATGAGTTGTGTTTAAGTGGTAACATTAATACACGTTTTGTTCTTCCGGAAGTTTTACTTAGTCGCACAAACTTCCTAGGAAATTTCTTTTTAAGAATTGTCATAATTGAAATTTAAAATTAAAGTTTTAGTGCAACATATAGTCGAATTACTTGGACTGTATGTGGTCTCTCAAGCACTTTGAGTATTTAGCTTAACAGCCTCAGTTTTCGAGTATCTACCATACATTTGTAAACTATTGAACCGTATGTCGTCATTTATTTGTAGCAATGTCGGAGAAGTTGGTCGTGTTAACCTGTGGTGGTGGAAATGGCGCCCACTGTTTGGCAGGATTGGCCGCCATGAGGCCTGATGTTGAGAGCCGTGTTCTGACGCTGTACTCAGACGAGGCCGAACGATGGTCAGCTAAACTGAAATCTGACATGATTATCACTGTACACCAAGACGATGGGGCAAAGAAAACGATGAATACCAAACCCTCAATCGTGACTAAAGACCCTAAACAAGCAGTACCAGGAGCTGACTATATATTTATCGTCGTCCCCGCCTTTGCTCATGCACAATATTTTAAAGCAATGGCTCCGTACATTGGCGACAACACCGTGATTGTCGGGTTGCCTGGTCAAGCGGGGTTCGAATTTGAATGTGTACATTATCTTGGCGACAAAGCCAAAACGTGTACAATTGTTACATTTGAATCTCTTCCTTGGGCATGTAGGCTGATAGAATTCGGCAAAAATGTGGAGATTTTAGGCTTCAAAGATACACTAGGTGCCTCAATCTTGAAAGGTAAACAATGCAACCTGGCAAGACCTATCGTAGAAACTAACCAATATATTCTTGGGGAGAAACCGAAAGTAAGACGGGTCCAAAACTACATTGCTATAACTTTAATGGCAAAATCTATAGTACACCCACCAATAATGTACGGCAAATGGTCATCGTGGGACGGAAAGCCTCTTACAGAGAAACCTCTATTTTATCAAGGAATAGATGAAAGGCAGGCGGAGTTATTGTCTGGAGTTAGCGACGAATGTGTTGCTACGGCAAAAGCGATAGAGAAAAAGATTGGAGGGCTCGACATGTCTGATGTCATCCACGTGTTCGATTGGTATTTGAATTACTACAGCGATCAAATCACAGATAAAAGCAACCTGATGATGGCAATGCGAACCAACAAAGCTTATGATGGCTTAGTTCACCCTATGAAGGAGATAGAACCGGGGAAGTACGTCCCAGATTTCACCTACAGATACATGGCAGAAGATGTCCCCGACGGCATTGTTCCTATGAAAGGAATCGCTGAATTAGCGGGAGTTCCTACACCTTACTTGGACGAAGTGATCACGTGGTGTCAGGGCAAGCTAAATAAGGAATACCTCGTGGGAAATAAATTGACGGGTAAAGACGTCAACGAGACTCGGGCACCTCAGCGATACGGCCTCAATAAATTAGAGGATCTGTTCCAGGGAAACTTCGAAACAACTCCGTAATGTTCAATGACGTTTCAACTCGCGAACAAATTTGAGTTATTAATTTCTTGTTATTCGTGATAGGTTTTTTTTATGCTTTTGTTCTGTTTAACATATTCTATATAAATATTTATATATATCTTTTTAAAATTTTTATTATATATTGTACTGTAATTACAAACCTCATAATACCTCATTATGTTGGAATGAACATCCCCAAAAATATTTCCTTTGATGTTTTGAAAAATTTACGAGGTCAAACCATGTTTTATAAGAACTTCAGAAGCTAAAGTCTCCATGAGATTGGAAGTGTTTTCTCATCCATGGCTATGCAAACTTCGGAATGTTACTTGTTCTTTTTCAATGCATGCCGACTGAAAATATGTCTCGTTTTAAATTTCTACAAAATAAATTTAACTGAACAGATCATTTTTAGATTCTTTTTTTCCAGAAATATATTTGGTTAAATTTCTAATATCTTATCTTCAATTCCTTTTTTTTTTAGGGGGGGGGGGGGGGGGAGAGAGAGGTCATTTCAATCACCTTTGATCCACATAAAAAAGAACACATTCTAATGTCTTTCAAAATCTTAATGAGGTAAATGTTATCCTTGGAGCAAAATTTTAAATGTTTTTCAGCTCTCCTAGAAAAAAATGTGTGTTCAGAGCTGTGAGGACCATTACATTTTCCAGATGACCCTTCTCCCCTTCCCCCTTTCATTGCAATCTTCAGTTGATTGCGCATGGTAAGATACCTTCACTTCACATTCACTTCCAAAGAAAAATTCATAGCCATATATTCATTAGCAATTCAAAATTAACACTATACCCATATACATCTGTACATGTATATTTCAAGTTTATTCAATAACTTTTTTAAGTGTATTTGCCGATCAGAATTCAGCACCAGTGCAAAACTACAATGGACATTCTTTAAAGCACAAAAAAAACCAAAACATTGCAACAATTGAAAAATTTAAATAATTCAGATTTCAGTAGTGCACATTTATTCATACTGGTCAAAACCTCAGAAGTAGCATATAGAATTTTATTTTATAAATTGCAGCTGAAATCTGAAAAATCAATGCACAAAAACATATATCCTATATTGTCCATGATTATTATCTTCAGGTCAAAAGGCCAAATGAAAAAATATGCATGTTTCCGGGAACATGCCAAAAAATTAAGGTAGGTAGATAGGCGAGAACTTTTTTATTTAATTTACTTTTTATTTTGAAAGCATCATTTAATTATTTAATACACTGTTTTTTCGTCATATATACATACACAAATACTTGTAAACATCAACATTAAATCAAGTGTACACTTTAAAACACTTAGATAGACATGTTTTTTACAGTGTTTGAGTCATACATTTTATCGACTGCACTATAAGAAAACTATACTACTAAACAAAAATATGGTTTGAAATTTTAATTTAGAATAAAATGTACTGGTAAGGTAGGTGGGTAAAATTTAGGTCAGTTGGGTTACTGGAAACATGAATATTTTTTCTTTTAGCCTAATAGAAAACAAGAGGCCCAGGGGCCACATCACTCACCTGAGCACTGTGGCTAGGAAAATAGGAAAAATCTGTTTAGTATTGAAAAGCTTAAATGCATAAGTGGTCCCAACCTACCCCTAAAAGGGAGGGGGGTATGATTTGAACAAAATTAAATCTACACTAACTAAGGATGCTTACATGACTTTTTGACTAACTGTGACTTTTTTCTCTGCAAGTTTGAACTTTCATTGTGGCCCCACCCTACCCCTGGAGGTCATGATTTGAACAAACTTGAATCTACACCACCTGAGGATGCTTCCATATAAATATGACCAATCATAGCTTTGCTGTTCTTGAGAAGAAGATTTTTCCTATATATTGCTACATAAAACTTTGATCGTCCATTGTGGCCCTACCCTACCCCCAGGGGTCATGATTTGAACAAACTTGAATCTACACCACCTGAGGATGCTTCCATATAAATATGACCAATCATAGCTTTGCTGTTCTTGAGAAGAAGATTTTTGAAGATTTTTCCTATATAACTCCTATGTTAATTAAAACTTTAATCTTCCATTGTGGCCCCACCCTACCCCCTGGGGTCATGTTTTGAACAAACTTGAACCCACATTACCTGAGGATGCTTCCATATAAATATGACCAATCATAGCTTTGCTGTTCTTGAGAAGAAGATATTTGAAAATTTTTCCTATATACACCTATGTTAAACTTTGATCGTCCATTGTGACCCCACCCTACCCCTGGGGGTCATGATTTGAACAAACTTGAATCTACACCACCTGAGAATGCTTCTATTTAAATATTACCAATCATTGCTTTGCTGTTTTTGAGAAGAAGATTTTTCCTATATATTCCTACATAAAACTGTGATCGTCCATTGTTGCCCCACCCTACCCACGGGGGTCATGATTTGAACACACTTGAATCTACACAACCTGAGGATGCTACCATATAAATATGACCAATCATAGCGTTGCTGTTCTTGAGAAGAAGATTTTTGAAGATTTTTCCTATATATCCCTATGTAAAACTTTGATTGTCCATTGTGGCCCCATCCTACCCCCAGGGTCATGATTTGAACAAATCTGAGTCTACACTACCTGACAATAATTCCACATGAATTTCATCTTTCCTGGCCCATTGGTTCTTGAGAAGAAGATTTTTCAATAATGCCATTAATTTTTTGCTATTTCGTAATTATCTCCCCTTGGAGGGGGGGCGTGGCCCTTCATTTGAACAAACTTGAATCCCCTTCACCCAAGGATACTTTGTGCCAAGTTTGATTGAAATTGGCCCAGTAGTTCTGGAGAAGAAGATGAAAATGTGAAAAGTTTACGACAATGATGACAGACAAATTTCAATCAGAAAAGCTCACTTGAGCCTTTGGCTCAGGTGAGCTAAAAAAAATTACAAGTAGCATTTTGATAAATTGATTACAGACAAAATGAACAAATGATGGACACACCAACACATGCTCTTCTGACCATTAACCAAAGGAGCTTAAAATAACACATCTAAATAAACATCACTGACTAGTTCAAGAAGCTATTTGCTGTTTACTTGAATTTTAAAAGATCAACAGAGAATTTAAAAGCTTTTTCTCCAAAATATAAATTATATGGTACCTTGCAAATGAAATTTAATTCCAGCTAAATGTATTTTATGTCTATCCTGTAAAGTTTATCCTCATCCATATTTATAGACATCCTCATCCATATTTATAGACCAGGAATGAACTTCTTCCCGTGTATTTCGTTGCCAATTTTTTGCCATCAGGGGTCGGGTCTGAGAATGCCACTTGCTTTTTGGAAATGTACATGCCATAGTGAAAGTGCTCCCTGCAATTAAGAAAATGTATCTTGATTAGGCATGAATGTTGCAACTCTGCACAATATACATATTATTGGCCAAACTTTCAAAAGAGGAAATCAAAAATTACATACTGTACAGGCCAAACCCCTAAAGAAGAAATCAAAAATTACATACCGTACACAGTCCAGTAGTCGGCTGGCAACTCCTTTTTTCCGGTTCAGCTTTTGAACCCAAATTTTGCTGATTCCCACTGAAGCTGGTTCTGGTTCCGTGTCGCAATACCAGGGCCTAGAACCAGACTCCTGACTACTAGATCGAGAGTCCGCAATCACTGGGTAACCCTGAAATTATAATTCCACATTGTTAAGAGCAGAAATTTAGTGGAAATTTGTTGAGACCAATTTGAGTTTGAGTTTTATACTTCCTCTTGTAAATAACAAGTACAGTAAAATGTCAATAGAAGATCTTACAGTCTCTTGTAAATAACGAGTACAGTAAACTGTCAATAGAAGATCTTACAGTCTCTTGTAAATATCAAGTACAGTAAAATGTCAATAGAAGATCTTACAGTCTCTTGTAAATAACAAGTACAGTAAACAGTCAATAGAAGATCTTACAGTCTCTTGTAAATAACGAGTACAGTAAACTGTCAATAGAAGATCTTACAGTCTCTTGTAAATAACGAGTACAGTACACTGTCAATAGAAGATCTTACAGTCTCTTGTAAATAATGAGTACAGTAAACTGTCAATAGAAGATCTTACAGTCTCTTGTAAATATCAAGTACAGTAAAATGTCAGTAGAAGATCTTACAGTCTCTTGTAAATAACAAGTACAGTAAAATGTCAATAGAAGATCTTACAGTCTCTTGTAAATAACGAGTACAGTAAACTGTCAACAGACATTCTTACAGTCTCTTGTAAATATCGAGTACAGTAAAATGTCAATAGAAGATCTTACAGTCTCTTGTAAACAACGAGGACAGTAAAATGTCAATAGAAGATCTTACAGTCTCTTGTAAATAACGAGTACAGTAAAATGTCAATAGAAGATCTTACAGTCTCTTGTAAATAACGAGTACAGTAAACTGTCAACAGACGATCTTACAGTCTCTTGTAAATAACAAGTACAGTAAACTGTCAATAGAAGATCTTACAGTCTCTTGTAAATATCAAGTACAGTAAAATGTCAATAGAAGATCTTACAGTCTCTTGTAAATAACGAGTACAGTACACTGTCAATAGAAGATCTTACAGTCTCTTGTAAATAACGAGTGCAGTAAACTGTCAACAGAAGATCCTACAGTAACACGAGGCCCAAGGGCCACAGCATTCGTGTCACCTTAACCCTGCTGTTCTTCAGATTTGAAAAAGATTTCACCTTCTTTATTACCATGAAAAATTTTAATCTCATAAAGTAGTCCCAGCCTAGCCTCAAGGCGTAAACACTTGAACAAATGTGAATATTCACACAATGGGATGCATCAATAGAGGTGGGACAATATACCAATAAATACCAATATTTTCTGTAAAAAATGTTTTACAATACATGCATTGAAATATCGATATGATTCAATACATGACCGACCATTAAAAAATTGAAAATAAAAGTAGTTGTCTTGTAAAACGGCAGCGTGTATGAAGCTGAGAGATGATATTGAAATTAAAAATGTGCCTTACAACTAACTAGAAATCTGACCAGTCAGCTAGGGCCCCGCCGAGGGATAGAAATACAAGGGTGCAGAATAGGGAATGAGAATTTTACTTGATTACAAAAATTAAAAAATATATGAAGAAGATCAATAAGCAACAGCAACTTATTTACAAAATTTCAAGATAATTTGTAAATATTCAACAACCTGTCAATAGTTTCCTTGTATTTACATAAGACAGTAAAAAAAATCATATCTATTATAACTCAATTAAATGTATATTTAAAGATGAATGAAGCCAGGGCTCGACATTAACGCTTGTCCGCTTGCCCGGTACCAGTGAAAAAAAATTACGGACAAGTGAATTTTGCTGGGCACTTGTCCGATTGAACAAGTGCATTTTAATGTAGAGGAGTCTCTAAATAATAACAAGCATTCTGAGAGTATTGCATTAGCAATACTAGTCCCCTACCGGCAAGTGTAATCTGGTTCCCGTTAAGAATTGAAAATGCCATAATTCCGTCAAAAATCAATGAAGCAGGACGAAATGCAAACTTGATCTATAACTAATCAAGGTAAAATCACATACCAAAAATCAGCTCAATATCTGAAAGCGTTTAGAAGAAAATTGCGGAAAACCCCTAAAAATTGAAAAGGCCGTAATTCCGTAAAAAATCAATGAAGCGGAACAAAATGCAAACTTGATCTGTAACTCACCAAGATACACTCACATACCAAAAATCAGCTCAATATCTGCAAGCGTTTAGGAAAAAAGTGCGGAAAACCAAGTGGGACAGACTGACAGACAGACAGAGGGACAGACAGACAGACAGACAGACGGACAGACTCAGAGGAAACCTATAGTCCCCTCCGGTTTCACCGGTAGGGGACTAATAAGAACAACTGTGAAAGTTAATCGGTAGTTTCAAGACGGAAGCTGTACATAAAAACCGGACTTCGATCCCGATAGGGATCGCTATTAATTCAGTTCACATTGGATCGAGATCGAAGTTCACTAATTGAATACTACTGAAAAAGGCATGGAACTTATGAACTTGATGAAGTTTGGTTCACTTGTGGACATTTATGTTGTTGTCAGGACAAAAAGCCTAGATAAAAACTCATTTTATGTGTTTGTTGTAAATATCAATAACATCACGAATCAATCAAGCACATGTCATGTGTAATGGACTTTATTTTTAGTTTTCAAGTTGACAGTATTAGATCTTTATTGAAAAATTTTTGAACAAGTGAAGTTGAAGTTCGGACAAGTAAATGTCTTGGTCACTTGTCCATTCGGACAAGTAGGAAAAAAAGTTAATGTCGAGCCCTGGAAGCATGCATTTTCTAAAATGCCAGCCTTCAGTGAATGCAAATATCACCCAGGCTTGAACTTAACTTCAAAACAAACATCAGTTGCCGACAAAGGTGTTAATCTTTCTGCAACCAGCAAGATAATCAATCCCAGGGGATTAATTGTACTGCTCTCTCATCCTTTTCTTTACAGTAAGAACTTTTTCAGCAATGATAGAATGAGGTTATTATTATTTAGGACACAAAAAGTGTCTCATTGTGAGCTGTACCTCGTTGTATCCATGACTCAAACTTTACCGGAAACAAAGTATTAAAATCTATAAAGGCTGCTTCCCAATCAACTCACCTGTGTAATGTTTTCAGCAACACAGCATCCACTTATCTTCTTCTCATCAGATATCATGAGAAACACCTATAAATACAAGTTGCTTGTACTTAACAATTTTTTCAATTCCAAAATCTATTGCTATAATCTACTCATCCTGGTCATTTTTTTTTTTTTACCAAAATTCATATAAGTGCACTAATACAAGTCATGTCTGAAGTTTACCTTACAATCTGGCCTGAAGATGAAAGTGGTATCTGGAAATCCCAGCTCAGTTCCCATTATCTTGTTGATTTCCTCTACCTTTAAAAATTAAAATTATAAATTATAAACTAAAAGAACAAGGTACGGTTTCAATACAAATCTGGCCCTGTATTTCTCTAAAATTTACAAGTGATGTAAGAAATTAAACTTCATCCTTTCTGAATTAGTGAAATTCCATGCAGTAAAATTATACAAATTGTTTTTCCGATATGACCTCTTAAGTGCCAATTGTGACATCATGAACTTGTGCATTTTCTCGTATTTTCTTTAAAGTTGCAGAAGACGTCAATTTCCAGTGGAATTTTCTTTCAGAAAACATAGAGCGCATGCATCGCCCACAAAGATTTTGAGATATGTGATTTTTCAAAGCATTTTACATAATATATCTAAAAATTGAAGTGGTTGAGGACTGCGGACACTATTTTCTAAAGGAAAGTAAGCACAGAAATGAGTCATTTTGAGGCTTTTCTGCATAAAACTAAGAAATGTACCAAATTAATGACGTCATATTTCCAGAATGGTCCTCCTTCATGCCATATTCTTTAATGATTTATCATATTCATCTATTCAATGTTATAGTCAATTTAATAACTTTTTAAGAACATTAAATTTTTAGGGCACAATAAAGCCCAAACCGTACCTTCTTCTTTGCTTGTTAAATTTTTTTAAATACAAATGATAAATGTGAATATTATTTTCATACATTGTACTGAACTTTCTCACTGGTTCATTTGATATCATTATCAAGGTAAAGAAATGCAAATGGACCAGGACTTTCTAATTATGAACATGAACTGGAAGTCTTTACCGAGACTGTAGCTGTACTGATGTGCACTTATAATAAAGATATATCTTAGTATAATCTCAATGCTCCAAGTCACACTTTCTAACAGGTCGCTAAATGGCGACCCAAAATTTTTGTTGGTCACACATACAAGCAAAGAACAAACACCCATAAATATGTTCATGTATAAGGTCTTTTTTAAATTAAAGATTACTTATTACTGTGACTAAATGTTAAGAATAAAATTTTGTTAATTTTCTATATCGATATAATTTTCCTTTATTCTGACTTACTCAGCATTTTGAGTTTATCAACCAGATGTGAGTAACTGAATTTGACAGCTCACCTAACAATCTGATATTTTAATCACAACAACTCTCCCAATTTTAGCGACTCTCTTGACTTTTGTTTCAGTGTAATTATAAAGCTGGTTACGTTATCTTGATTTATGTATATCTTTGCTTCATTCACATCCTGTCCCTGGGAACTCTGTAACTTTCTGTAAATTCCAATAAGTCATTTATGGCTTCTATATAAGGCTTTGTGAAATTTTATTAAGTCTTTTGTAACATTCTCATCAATGCTACACTCATGAAATAAATTGTGAAAAACATACGATTGGGTTTAATTGTTGAGTGTAACGCTAAACAATCTGCTAGGCTGAAGGAACCACTCATGAAATATTGTTATTACATAGAACCACCTGTATGATTATACACTGAAGAACACCAGTGATTTTATCCTAGAATTAAAGTTAAATCCAATGAAATTGCTACAAGTTTGACTAGTATGTGCATCAGGTGGAAACTCTGAGCAGGGTTTGAAATTAACAGTCGCCCACTCGCAATTTGCGACTAATGTTCCATGTGGGCGACTTAAAATTACGTTCAAGTTGCCCACATGGCGATTAGAAAATTTACGATAATAAATATTTGTTTTTCAATTTTGTCCGAATGTTTTGTATTTTTCTCTTGAAAAATTTCGTAATCAGTAAAGTGCTTTATAATTACCCGTAAGAAGTACTTATACATAAAGCGTCTAAGTGATTGTGTCGGGCACAATGTGGCATCGACAGGTCAATGAGCCCAAGAAACCAGAGAGCACCGTTGTTATTTGTGCATGAAAACGTGCCATGTGCTCTATATATGATATTGAATGATCATATCAATCTTCATAAACAGAAGAGTTCCACTTCAAATTCAGATAAGACATGCATAATGTTACAAGGAATAGAAAAAAAACACGAAGCACATGATTAAAACAAGAGGCCCATGGGCCACAGCGCTCACCTGAGTAACTTTGGCCTTGCTGTTTTTCACCTGATTTCTCCCCCCCCCCCCCTCGTAGTACTTATTGTGGTCCCCCCCCTACCCATGAGGGTCATGATTTGAACAATTTAGAATCTACATTACCCAAGAATGTTTCCACATGTTTCAGCTTTTCTGGCCCAGTGGTTCTTGAGAAGAAGATTTTTATTACATATTTCAATGTAAAACTTGGATTCCCTATTGTGGCCCCACCCTATCCCCGGGGGTCATGATTTGAACAATTTAGAATCTACACTACCCCAGGATGCTTTCAAATAAGTTTCAGCTTTTCTGGCCTAGTGGTTCTTGAGAAGAAGATTTTTTAAATATTTTTACTATATATTTCAATGTAACACTTGGAATCCTTATTGTGGCCCCACCCTACCCCCGGGGGTCATGATTTTAAGAATTTAGAATCTACACTACCCAAGGATGCTTCCAAATAAGTTTCAGCCTTTCTGGCCCAGTGGTTCTTGAGAAGAAGATTTTTAAAGATTTTAACTACATATTTCTATGTACAACTTGGATTCCCTATTGTGCCCCCCCCCCCCCCCGCCCTACCCCCGGGGGTCATGATTTGAACAATTTAAAATCTACACTACCCCAGGATGCTTCCACATAAGTTTCAGCTTCTCTGGCCCAGTGGTTCTTGAGAAGAAAATTTTTAAAGATTTTTACTACATATTTCTATGTAAAACTTGGATTCCCTATGGTGGCCCCGCCCTAACCCTGGGGGTCATGATTTGAACAATTTAGAATCTACACTACCCCAGGATGCTTCCACATAAGTTTCAGCTTTTCTGGCCCAGTGGTTCTTGAGAAGAAGATTTTTTAATGACCCCACCCAATTTTTGTATTTTCTTGATTATCTCCCCTTTGAACAGGACTTGGCCCTTCATTTTAACAATTTACACTCCCCTTTACCCAAGGATGCTTTGTACCAAGTTTGGTTAAAATTGGCCCAGTGGTTCTTGAGAAGAAGTCGAAAATGTGAAAAGTTTACAGACGGACGGACAGACGGACGGACGACGGACAACGGGTGATCAGAAAAGCTCACTTGAGCCTTTGGCTCAGATGAGCTAAAAAAAGCAAAAATGGGGTTGTTTTTATATTCAATAGAAGGTGTGATAATCTGTGGGCAGGGTTTTTTTTTTAGGTCTTAAAATCAAGGGCCTGGGCCTTTCCATTTGGGAAAAATTAGCGACATTTAGTTAAAATTGGGGAAAATATCATAATTCATATTTTTCTAGAAAAAATTCATATAAGAGCCATTTCTTTACTTGCAAGGCATTTATTGACTTATTTACATCCAATAAATCTTATTGAAAATCAGTTTAACTTGTAATTGCTATTCTTTCTATAAAATTTAGAATTATTTGACTTTAATGTCATACTTCAAATCATCTTTTGGGAATTTTCTTTGATGAAATTGGGAAAACACACACACTTTTTACCATTGGGAATGGGGCCTATTGCAGGCCCCCTACGACCCCTAAAAAAAACCCTGGTGGGCGAATAAATTTTGATGTGGGCCCCAGAATTGCAAGGTTCAGTAGCCCACATGGCTATCAAGGATTACAAGTTAGTTTAAAACCCTGTTTGAGATAGGACTTTGTTACCTTTACTTTATTACAACGTACCTAACCTATTAAACACTGCTGTTAATATCGCAAAACATGACAATATGCAAGCAAATATCGCAAAACTTGATGAAATGCAAGTAATATTGACCAAATGCGCAGCTCCGTGAACAGGGTTGGGTTTTAAAAAGTCAACAATATTTGACAGCCCTTCTATACAGCATGCTGCAACAACATTACGTAATCTCAGTCTTTGTGACACTTTAAAAAGTTTTAGGAATGTCTTCAAACATTTTCATGATAGAGAATCTTGGGGAAAAAGTAATCTCCATCCCCGTCATAAAAATGGACAATCACCGGCCCTAATTTTCTCAGTAGTGAAAATGCAAGTTAGTTTTAATTTCTAGTTGCAAAATTACTGTAATGTTTGGAAGATAGGACAATACTTTTTTTTTTACTCAGAAAGGCCAGGGTTGTCCTATTTCACGAATCAACCTATCTAAGGCTCAAGTTTACAAAAAATGCCCCAAAATCAGTAAAATTTACGTCAATTTTTAAGCAAATCTGTGCCATTTTCATATTTTTTTTAAATAACTTTACTGAGAAAAAAATAATAAAGAATTAAATATTCATTTCATTGATTTCTTTCAAAATAAGTTCCATTAAATATCCGTCGATGTACAAAAAAACTTAAATCATCTAGTAAATAATGTCTCAAAGTATATTTACAACATGCTGTGTCCATCTTGTGAAATTGGAAGTCGAAATCGTTTACTAAAAATAAAACCGCAACCGCATCAAAGTTTAAAATAAGGAAGAGTTTTCACAATCGCAATTGTTATCTTTTTTTTTACCATTTATTTGTAAAAATCAATTGAAATTGTATACTTAAATATTTTTTCATTGTCTTGTGATATTTATTTAAATATAACATAGGTAATCAAAGATTACTAAGTTAGACTCTGAATCAAATTTATTTTTTACAACAATATCTCAAGCAAAATTATAGCATGTTAATATGATTAATTTCAATTGCTCAACGTTACATGTAATAGTCATTTGCGTGTTTTAGCAAATCCCTGGTCAAGAAATATAAAAATGGTGGTCATCGAAGTTAATACTGTACCACGGTAAATTATGTCGGAATAAAAGAATGTGTCCACGATGTTCTAAAATGGAAATGATTATCGTTTGATTTCGGGTATTTCCCTAATTATAGCTGTTGTATACTACCATATTTATGTGTTTAACGACAAACTACGACGGCATTGAACAGGCAAGTTGGAGAAAATATGTTATATCACAATTCAAGAGAGTTTTAACTATGTTTGTATAAAACACTATTAAAATGCTGTACTCATAAAAATACCAGTTTATTTTCTCAATAATATCACGGGTTAAGTTAAAGAGGTTTACATGTTCCGATACGTAGTATCTACGCAAGAATCTCTAGAAAATCAATAAACAAAGCCTCGTCCTATCTTCCGAATTCGTCCTATCTTAGGATTTTTTAAAAATTATGGCTGAAAATGAGCCTTTCGACCTATATACCCCATCGACATATACCCCAAAAATTATGGTAATTTTTTGGTTGCAAATGAGACCATTTTAGTTGCAACTTAGAGCACTGAATCTACTTGTGTAAAAAGTTTTATCAGACCTAAAACTGTACGAGTAGTATTTTTTTCAAAAATTCAAAGAAATTTCTATTTTGAGTCACCATGGCAACACCTTTTGTCGAAAATCTTAGAGTACGAAGTCTTATTGAAATTGGACCAAATTTTTAAGAGGAGCAGTGTTTTAAAAGAATTTCAAAGACATTTCTATTTCATTAACCATAGCAACACCGTTTATCAAAATAAAAAAAAAAGATATCAGAATTAATATGATTCTTAAAGTATGGTCTATTTGTGTACCAAGTCTGATTAAATTGGACCAAAGCTGTAAGTTTAGGTAAGTAGACCTTGCAGGATATGCTTTTCTGTGAAGTTGATATATCTATGGACTGACCTCATGAAAGGGCTATACTTGTACAGTATACAGTAAGTAAAGATGATATTCGATATAGAAAATTTATATATACACACAATAGATGATACAGAAATGTTCACCTTTCTGATGGCATACTTTGGGTCATCATAAGTCACCATTATAACTCGACTACCATCATCATACTCATGTACAACCCTCTCCTTCTTCCAACCCTGTCCAAAAAGAAAAAAAAATTACCTAAAGCAATTTACTGAATAATTCAGCCATTTTATTTACCAAAATCAAATTTTTGCTTGTAGTACAAATCTTATATACATTAGGTGAACCATATAGCAAACTAGAGTGGTTCAAGGAATTCATGTGTCACCTGCTTTATAGTATCATTAAAGATGTAAATAAATCTAAAAGTGGTAAGTTATTTATCTGCTACTAGTACAATGTAATAAAGAGGTAAGCTATTTATCTGCTACTAGTAATAAAGAGGTAAGCTATTTATCTGCTACCAGTAATAATGAGGTAAGCTATTTATCTGCTACTAGTAATAAAGAGGTAAGCTATTTATCTGCTACTAGTAATAAAGAGGTAAGCTATTTATCTGCTACTAGGCTATTTATCTGCTACTAGTATTAAAGTTCCTGCTTTTGGATATTGCATACAAAAACCATCCATGGATGGAAAGACTTTCAGAATACATGTGGTAATTAAATAAAAATATAATTCTCCAACCCTCAAGGTTAAAATGAATAATGAAATTGAAATTACTAGAAATACTTATTTGTTATTTTATTCATTGTTTCGTGACCAGAAAGATTTTTAGTCTGTCTTTACTACAATTGCCAGCCTTCAAACTTTATCAGAAGTACAATCCATTTTGGTATATGATCCTGATGTATTTTCATAGTATTCAAATCATTACTTATTCACTTATTCAACTCATAAACTCATGAGGTATATGCTACTTATCAAAAATGCAAAAGGCAGGTTTTAAATTAACCGTTTTAAATATTTTTGGAATGATGATCAAAGGTCAAAGTCAAGCTGGTATTTTTTAATAATATCTTATGACAAACAGAACACATGCTAAAAAGCACAGACTTACCTCTTAAATGTGACCAATAACCTATATATGGGCTGTACCAACTATTTTAAAAGGTAGGCCACAAATCAAGTTCAAAGGTCATGAGGTCAGTAATCATGGTATTTTACAAAAGCCATACTACCAAGAAATATATGTGCAAAATATCATATCCATATCTCTTACAGGTCTAGATGAAAGGTGTGACAGACAGATGGACAGCTAGACGGACAGAAGGACAGACAGACGGAGGGTAAGACAGATGGAGGTTAAAGTGATCCCTATGCTCTGCAGGTGACACAAAAATAGAAAATAAGAGTGTGGTTCTCACAGAAAATACCTGCAATTGTCTCAATTATTACAATACCACTCACAGGAAATTTCATGGCATTTATGATGCTCTGGTGGAATTTGGCATGTGTTGTTTCATCTGTAGGTTCTGCCTGGGAGTAAACCATTCCACACGTTTCACACTGTGTGGCCCCAAACTTCTTCTGACCAGCGTCCTATAAAACAAACATGCTTTCTGGCATCAACAAGTTATCACAAGGAATATTAATCATATCTATAACATTTTATTACTGAAAATGTTAATTTAAAAAAAAAATGCAAAGTCAGGCTTCAAGGACAAACTCACCAGTGTCATTTGATCATCCTTGTTTTCAATGAACTTTAGCTTTGGTGATCTTGAATTGGATCTGTTGGAATACATAATAATTAGCAATATTCTTGTATGTTTATTTAAATGTGTATATATTAATGATTAAGCATTTGCTATTGTCAGAATTTTTACTAGTATAAGTACTGAACTTGGACTATCTGCTGGTACAACTACTCAACTAGGACAATTTGCTGGTACAACTACTATAAACTATCACTTTTTTCCCATACACATAATGTTCTTTAACTAGGATTTTGACACATCAATGCATCATAATTTGTTAGAGTTCATAGACAATAAGGTATCATAACAGTCTTTACGTAGACTTTGTTTCCCTTAGAGTTCGGAGTCTGGACTTACCTGGACTTTGTTTCCCTTAGAGTTCGGAGTCTGGACTTACCTGGACTTTGTTTCCCTTAGAGTTCGGAGTCTGGACTTACCTGGACTTTGTTTCCCTTAGAGTTCGGAGTCTGGACTTACCTAGACTTTGTTTCCCTTACGAGTTCTGGAAGTCTGGACTTACCTGGACTTTGTTTCCCGCAGTGTTTGAAGTCTGGACTTGGGACTAGGTGTCACTTTATTAAATATTGGGAAGTACTTTTGCTGTGGTGATGATGTAGATGTAGAAGGACTCTCCGTACTATCACCTTTTGCTGTCTTCATGGTCCCTTTGTTTTCCTCATTCTGTTTCTTTGGTGTGCTATCATGACTTTCCTCCATCTCTACAATAGGTTGAATGCCCTCCATGACCTCGGAGTTTGTGTCTGTGACTGATGAGGTGTCTTCTGTTATGAGTGACATCTTGTCTTCTGTTGTGACACTAGAGGTGGTATCAACATCTGACCCCGGTTCCTGGGATTGGTCAGCTGGCTCTGTAGACTGAGATCCAGGTCTGACCCGGATTGATGGACCAGAGTGGATGGAGGCTGCTACTGATTGCTCGGAAGACAAGGACCTTGGGGAGCAGCTCTCCTCTGACCCCTGATTAAGATGTTCATCTTCTTTAACTCTAGAATTTTCAATTTCTTGTGATGACACTTTTTGATTGGATGCTAATGGATATGAATGCTTCACATTATTTTTTGAACGGAATTTTTGGAGATTTTGAATTTTTCCCTTGGGAAATGGTGTTAGAGGCAAAGGTGATTTTTTGGACTTTGGTTTTTCATTCCCTTTCTTTTGTTTTCCTAAAACAATGTCCCTTCTGTTTGGGGTAAACTTAATATCAAAGCCTTTTCGGATAACCACACCAGGAATGAATTTTTCTGCAGATCCAGGACATCTGCTTTTGAAGAAGCGTTTTTCCCCAGAACTTGGTGTTGTAGAAGTGTCAGTCTTTATTTGAGCCTTTGGTGTTTGTGGTGAATCAGTCTTTAATGGGTTAGGTTTTTTAATGGGGGGCTTAACTGCATTAGCCTCTTTATCAGCTCTGAAAAAGATGGAAAACATCCAACTACTGAAATAAAATTTAAAGTTATATCTGTAATATGTGTATTCTAAAGTGTAAATATATATTTATGTTATGAACAGAGAATTACACTTCCATACATCTACTAAATAATCTGTTCTTTTCAGTGTATCTCAATAATATTAATACTCTGATCATCAAAAGGAAAACATTTTCGATCTATGAAAACATCATTGACTATTGTGAATTTCTTCATCATGTATTTGCTGTTGTTACACAAACCTGAAAACACAGTTAGATACAGTGCTTGAAACAGCTTTACAGGCCGCCAAGTGTCAGATACAAATTTACAATTATTTCAACATATGTTTATCTCATCAATAATGTAAACGGTGAAGATAACAGTGATCAATCTCATAAATCCAGTAAACAAAGCAAATCATAAACAGGGCAAGAACATGGATCTCTGGAAACTCAAGAGGTGGGATCAGGTACCTAGGTGGAGAAAGCATCTCCTGTCCATCAGTCCCCCCCCCCCATGATCCCTTTGTATTGATTAGGTAGACAGAGTACTCTGTAGTCAAAGTAAGTATAAAAGCAATGACCTAACAAATTCCTATAAAGGCTATAAATAGACCCTAAAAGCTGCTAGGAACTTTGCATGTACCTTTATTGTTTATGTTAATTACCTCTTTCTGAGGACCTTCTTGTGACCTCTATTGACCTCTGACTCGCTGCCACTAGTCTGACTTCCTTCCTGTGATATATTCTCCTCGTCAGACAGTTTTTGTAACACCTTATTTGCAGCTCTTCGCCTTTTAGGAGAATGAGGAAAGGATTTTTTCTCCCTCTTTCCATAGAATGACTTTGTGGCTATGGTCTCTTCCGAGTCTGACTGAGAACTTTCCATATTATACTCAAAATCTTTACCTACCATCTTCTTCCTTTTGGGTGGAGTGTTTTCAACTCCATCAAAATTATAGAGAGAACTGAAATTGGAAAGTAACAATACTTATTATCAGGAAATGTAAGCACAACTTAAACTGAAATAATTAAACTACAAGTTTTCTCCCTTGATAACAAAGTTTATAGTTTTAAAATAATCTTTGATCTCATTCAAAATTTTCTTTTATACAATTTTTGAAGATACACAAAAACAAACTAGAGGTACTGTTACTACTGTAAGCACTGAGCTCACAAAAGGATACCCCTTACTCACAGGAGTATATTGGGAAAGTCCATTTTTGCCATGGGAAAACCCAAATATCTGAACAGAACATAAAATACAGGCCTCTCATACCACGTTTTGGTTAAGACCGGGGCCATAAAGATTGGGAAAATAACGTCATTTGGGGGAATTTTGGGATAATTATTGTACTTCAAAATCATGATATATTGGGTTTGTGGTTTCAGTTACCAGCTATTTTTTTTTAAATATAGAGGAATATGAAAACCAAGTTTAGTTATTACATATTATCCAAACTGTATTTTCTTTAATTTTTGGGAGAAGACTATTGGGAAAATTAACATATCAATTGGAAAAAAGGTACCTTTATTGAATTGGGAATTGGGGCCCTTGAATGGCCCAAATTATAGACAATCGAGAGCTCTGAAGTAGGAGGTGCACAATGACAATGTGGGTACATACCTCTAATTATATTTAGAATCGGTAGGAGAAGAAAGTAGTGCAGAAAAAATTACAAGTTCCTTAAATTGCAGATCTGAATTAAAAACAAGAGGCCCACGGGCCTTATAGGTCACCTGAGTGTCATGCAACAACTTCACCACAATGGATTCATGTTTTAAACCAGAGGCCATGAAATTCACAATTTCGAAAGAGGCACACTTGCTCATCATAATTTTACATTTAGTAAGCTTACTTAATACCCAGAAAGAGAGCTGAGGATTATCAAAGAATTAATGCATTTTCACTATGTAATCATTAGAGCCCTGCCCTAACACCAGAACCATGATGCAGGGTCCATAAAATTCACAATTTTGGAAGAGGCATCCTTACATATCATAACAATACTCTTAGTTCATCAGCTTAATACCCAGGAGAAAAGAAGAAGATTTTCAAAGAATTATTGCATTTTTACTATGTAATCATTAGAGCCCCACCCTAACACCAGAACCCCTGACCCAGGGGCCATGAAATTCATAATTTTGGAAGAGGCACCTTTACTCATCATAACTATACATCAGTTTGTTTGTTAAATACCCAGGATCAAAGAAAAAGATTTTTAAAGAAATAATGCATTATCACTATATATTCAACAGAGCCCCACCCTAACACCAAAACCCCTGACCTAGGGGTCATGAATTTCACAATTTTGGAACAGGCACCCTTACATATCATAACTATACTCTTAGTTCATCGGCTTATTACCCAGGAGAAAAGGAGAAGATTGTCAAAGAATTATTGCATTTTTACTATGTAATCATTAGAGCCCCACCCTAAAACCAGAACCCCTGACCAGGGGGCCATGAAATTCACAACATAGGAATAGGCACCCTTATTCATCATAACTATGCCTTCAGTTTGTTTGCCTTGGATCAGAGAAGATTTTTAAAAGAAATAATGCATTTTCACTATACATGTATATTCAACAGAACGCTGCCCTAACACCAGAACCCTTGACCCTGGGGCCATGAAATTCACAATTTTGGAAGAGGCACCTTTCATCATCATAACTATGTATTTATTTTGTTTTCATAATATCCAAGAGCACAGAAGAAGCTTTTTAAAGAAATAATGCATTATCACTATATATTCAACAGAGCCCCACCCTAACACCAGAACCCCTGACCCTTGGGCCATGAAATTCACAATTTTGGAAGAGGCACTCTTTCTCATCATAACTATGTACTTAGTTCATCGGCTTAATACCCAGGAGCAGAGGAGAAGATTTTTGAATAATTAATGCATTTTCACTATATAATCATTAGATACCCGCCCTAACACCAGAACCCCTGACCCAGGGGCCATGAAATTCACAATTTTAGAAGAGACACCTTTCATCATCATAACTATGCATATTGTTTGTTTCCTAAATACCCAAGAGCAGAGGAGAAGATCTTTTAAGAATAATGCTTTTCACTACATATTCAACAGAGCCCCACCCTAGCACCAGAACCCCTGACCCTGGGGCCATAAATTTCACAATTTAGGTAGAGGGCTCAATGCTTATTACATTCATGCCAACAGTTTGCCTGCTTGATGCCCAGGAGTAAAGAAGAAGATTTTTAAAGATTGCATTAATTCTGATGATTTTAGCCCCACCCCTCAGGCCCCAGGGGGGTAGGGGTCATGAATTTCACAATTTTTACTCCCCTTCACATATAGATGCTTTGTGCCAAATTTGGTTGAAATTGGTTCAGTGGTTCCAGAGAAGAAACTGAAAATGTTCAAATGTTAACGCACGACGGACGACGCACGCCGACGGACGAAAACAGATAGCAATAGCTCACCTGAGTAAACTCAGGTGACCTAAAAACTGTGATAATGTATTAAACTGAGCCTCATACTTGTTGATAAAGAGTATGTTCCCTTGCAAAAAAGCTTGGCAGATGTAATTTATCAGCATAATTATTTTATGTATTATAACACCAGTGAGAAGTCTTGAATTCCCCTACTTTCACTTTCAGTTTCAGAGGTTAATCACTTAATGCAGATGCATTTTGCCGGAAAACGAATCTGACATGCCATCTCGTGATTTTTACCAAGGAAAGGCAACTTGGTTTGCTTTGATTTGAGGGGTCACTCACTGCTGAACGAAAATTAGGGACATTGCTATGTGAAGAAACATTAACACTGCCGCCTATGGGAAAACAATTAGTGGGCTGTACCCATGTAATAAAAATTCTAAGAAAGTCTCATTAAATTTTATTTAGTGGTATAGGAGGAGCTGCAGATAAGAAATGGGTACCCCCAATAGAAAGAGTGGCAATGTCCATGTTTTGCAATGGGAAACCCAAAATATCTGTCTAATCAGAAAGAAAAATAGAAGGCGTACAATTGCACAACGTAATTAATATTCTGTGAAAGTCTCATTAAATCTCATTTGGTGGTATACAAGAAGTTGTGGATAAGAGGTGGGTACCCCAAAGTATTGTGGACCTAAGGATGTACAGACGGACACCCCATCACTATACATGTATATACCCCTGCTTTTCGAGCAGGGGGCATAAAAAAACATTTAAAAAACTATATGATAGGTGTGGAAAAATCTTACCTAGATTTATTTTCCTGCAGATCAGCAGGTTTCCTTTTACGAGTCATTCTAGTTCGTGTTTCCATACTCATTCTGGTTATTAAATGCAATATCACAGAACAATACAGGAAGTGCAGATATTAACTACCGGTAAATTCCCCTCCAGCTGGCAAACATTCTAGAAAAGATTAAAAAAAAGGACTCTACAAGACAGAGAGTAATGTTTGGGTCTTTAATGAATGAATTTGTCAAACTGACTTTCATAAGTAACAAAATCATACAGCTGTATTCTATCAAAGTTGCAGGTTAGCATGTTTTATCAATAAGGTTTTTATGCATTTGTGATAGTATAATTACTTGTTTTTCGATATATAATAATTTGAGCGTTTTTTTTGTATTTTTTCGTTTTATTATAAACTGAAAGTTTGTTTACACATCTGCATTCAGTTCCATGATTAAAGTTTCATTCTATGATTTAATTCATTGATTCTTTGATTGATTTCCTATTTTTTATCTAATAATAGATTTTACTATTAGTATAAATTTACAGCATTTTACCTAAGTCAGACCAGTAGGGCTAGAGGTGTAAGAATAAAGCAATACATTGATCCTATTGATCACAAGGGGTCATGATACGCATATCGTATTGCCATGTATGTATCGTGATACAGTACTAGATAATTTTCATTGTTTTGTTTGAAACTTCTACATACAACCTAATAAATTTTAATGTTTTAAAATGGCTGAAAAAAGGAGCAAAGAAAAAATACAATGTCAAGACTATAAATTATCCACCTTTTATTGACTTTGGTCAGGGGTATCAAGAGATTCTTTTTATATTTTCTATAACTGTGGAGATTAGCAAGGAATAATATGTTAAGATAACGGTTAATTCAATTGTTGACAGTTGTATCATGATACGTTGTATTGCATGACTGTATCATGATATGTATCCTATCGTTAGGTAGCTTGCGATACTCAGGCCTAAGTACGGCTAGTTAGAATAATCTAACTGTGTCTCTGGACAAGCACTCACCACAGTTAGAATACGTCCCATATACTTGCAATGTAGCAAATCGGAGCAGATCCGCTCTGAAATGATTTTGAAGAATACAAAAGGAGTTATACTAAAAATAACTACCAAATTAATCATAACAAACCTTTTTGAGATTGTATGTGCCTTTTAACCTAAAAAATAATCCATATAAATATGAAAATTCAATTCATTTTCTCAATGTTTTTTTCCTCGCTTCAAATTTAACGCCATGTTGACATTCAGAACTCTCTGGATTGTTTATAGAAAATGCACAGAGTCCGAGTTATCGCCCATTTTATTTTGCTACATTGCCAATACACGGATCGAATTCTATCATTAAATCGGGTCTGTAGGACAATATCATTTTAACAATCAGCGGTTTTTTTTCTTATATAACTGGTACCGATAAACGGTACCATTCCCAATGCCAAAAAACGTTAATTTTTCCCAATTTTGAGACTAAAAATTCCCAATTCAACTGTCAAGCAACAGACTACGATGACATCGTATTTCTTTTTATATGAAACATTGTATAAGTTGACTATAATTGTTTCACTTCCACTGAAATCGAAAGTAGAGATGTCGTAATATGGCGGAACCTGTGGTGTAGACAGCGTATTGTCATACATTTTGACAAATTGAAAGCATGAAAATGCAAAAACAAGGGACATTGATATGAAAAAACAATAAATACTTGTTTTTTATTCTTTAAAACATGGAGTAATAGGTAATGAGATTGGAATAAACACAAAATACGTTTCATTTGTTTATATGAAAGAAAATTCTCCCTTGTTCTACTTCAGTGCTACTTTTCCCAATTGAACCGGTACCGGACCCTTTCCCAATGGGTAGAAAAAAATCGCTGACAATAGAACGTTTCTATCTAAAATAAGGCCTACATAACATTTAAATTGGATTTTGTCTTTAACTGCCATATAAAGATTTATGTAAAACTGATTGCAAAATTTTATATTTTATTGTATTTCTGCAGTCAAATTTTTAACTTTATGATGAGTCTGCAAGATTTCAGTTTGAATTGTCTACAATGCACATTTTTATATAGTGTATTTTGATAAAAACGTTTACTGTAGATAAATTATTTTTATTTTTATATATGAAATATCAAAGTATATAATACGTCAAAATTAAAGAAATGATATTACACTACAGATATGAAAAAAATTGAAATAATCAATGTGTAATCGTTCAACAAGGCAGATTATTTCACTCAAAGACGTTATCAGGTCCGGCACAATCTCCTGATTTAGCTATATAGCTTGAAAAAGCTATATAGCTTTATTAAGCTATTCAGAATAGCTTGATTTAGCTATTTTATCACACTTTTTTCTTAAATGAGTTATATTCTCAGCATTCACAATTAGTCGCACCTTGGTGCAGTGATAATATTCAACCTTGAACTCTTCTGAAAATAATGCATGTAAAGATCACTCATCAAATTATGTCTCCTTAAGAGACTTTGTACTCAAAGTTCTTAAAGTTTTGGGGCTATATAAAGCAATTGATACAGTTACTTCTTCATTGAAATTATAAAAGATGCCAATTATGGTCAACAAGATAATTGATTAGTAATAATTCAGTACAATGAGAAGCAATCATACTTATCCACGCCTCGACGCACACAAGGTGGTGTACAGTTACTCAAACAATGGAAATTCATCTTTTGCTTAAAAGTATTCAAATGCTGCAATGTTAGAACTATCTTTGATTTCAGTTGTTGTTTTGATAGCCCATAGTACATATATGTATAATCAAATACTTGCGACTTTTTTTCTATTTCTTACAAAAAACATTTTTCTGAAAAACTGCACATAAATAGCTTTATCAAGCTATTTTGAATAGCTTAATAAAGCTATATAGCTTTTTCAAGCTATATAGCTTAATCAAGAGATTGTGCTGGACCTGGTTATGTACTTTGTTATTGTTGGCCAGTGCCTTCTTTCCTTGTATAACAAAGAGTGATATATAATCTGTCTTGTTGCCAACCCAAACAGCCACTAGGCTACAGACCAAGACACCAGTAAGGCAGTTACTTATATCTCCGCAAGGATACACTCGCTGTCATAACATTGACACAACACAGTGAAAACACCTTTAATCGTTTCATGCTATCATTTGTTCATTGATAAATAGTATTTTTGCTGTATGAGTAACATTTTATCCTAAAATTACTGTACCACAAGTCTCAATTACTTACTTAAACACATAGTTTACGAATTGCGTTTTCCCTCTAAATTCAACATTGGCGCCATCGAAGGGATTTGACTTTTAAGAATTCCGATCCCGATTCTAGCTCCTAACACTTTAGTATATATAAAGTGACAAACGTTTCGCTCCAATGTAGGGTAAGTGATATATTGATTGAATAGGGAGGAAAAAATAAGGGGATTTTTTTTGTTTTGGGAACTTTGAACAAAATATTTAAAATGAAGTTGATAAAAATATATATTTTTTTAAGATGCAAAGTATTGATTAAAAATGGTATCAGATTCCCCAATCGTCAGAGTGCGAAAAGTGTCGTTCCATGAACTGATGAAGAACTGTATGTCTTTTGGAACAAAATGTATACTATACATTTAAAGACTTCGATCTTGACAAAACATCACGACTCTTTTGGAATATAAGTTAATTATCTCCGACTCATAAGAAGAATGAAAATTGAACTAAATTCAGCTGAACATAATTATTGTCTGTATCTCAAAGCACATGCCTGTGCTTACGAAAACAACAGGACTACAGGTGGAATGCGTATGCATGTGCATAACATCTGAAAAGTTGATAATGACGTCACATTGAAGCATTCCTTCTTTAGGAACAACCAGTAAACAGTACATGGACATACAAAATATTTTATGCTTGAAGTATTTTTTATCGTATTTTTTTTTCAATGGTACTAAAATGGCAAAATAAAAAAAATAAAGCATGCTTACTAACATGCCAACATTTCTTGAAAATTGGAGGAAAGGAAATGAAGGAGAAATGATTTTAAATCACAAAACTTTTACAACAGCTGTCAAAACACGATCGAAATCGATTATTTGATAAAAGTGGCTCTTGGGAATATACATGTCGTGTGATTAATCTTCCAAAAAAATTATTTGTTAAAAAGAGTTCTCATTTTTTAAAGTAGATCTGAAGAAGACGTTGACATTTTTTACTGACTCTATCGAGACTAAATCTGTTGAAATCCATATGGGTACTAATTAGCAGTCCCGGCTTCAAGACCATAAACCGAGAACAGACTTAAGCCAAAATTTCAAATTAATATAACTTCTGAAATAATTTTAATACTCAAACAAATTTTTCATCATTTGATTCTATTTTGATATTAAACAGACATGCAAATTTAGAAATACATATGTAAATTAATACTCAAGATACTGAGAATCAAAGAATTCATTGAAAATTTCTACACGAAAAGTAGTCTCTTGCTGTGGCTTGCAATTCTACATGTAGTAATATCGGGGACGATTTATATATACTATTAACAATTATAATTTTCAGTCAAGTTGTTTATCTGACACATTCCATTGAACTTGAAATAAAAGACACCACAGAGTCTGACAGTTAGTGTTTCATATTTGGATATATTTAACTAGATATTGTCATTGAAGGCAAACTGATAAGTACATGTACCTTATTATGACACTGTATTGCCATTAGCGTTTATTGCTCCGAGCTGACTCTTGAAATACAAGAAATTGTTCTGTGTACAATCAATTTCTTAACCGAGTCAGGCTACTGACAAGTAAGCCGATGATACAGGCTATCAACAGTCTCGTTTTAAGTCAGCAATTTGCTAATTCTATGGTTGTTATAATGACCTGTTTTACCCATACAACTATTCACTGGGTCGAATGTTGATTTTTTTTTTTCATACAAATTGTTTGGACATTCTTTTCATGCTGATTTATCTATGAATTACTCCATTTGCCTGATGAAGACAAAGGACTCACGGCGAGTGTGACCGGTCGACAAGGGATGCTTATTCCTCCAGGGCACTTTCTGTATTTATGCCCTGCTCTCAATTTGTATTCATTTGTTTTATTTGATTTGTTCGCTGTCATCATATTTCATTATTTTCTCTCTCCCTTCGTTCGTCCAAATGTAAATTAATTATAATTTAATGATAACAAAAAAGACATTATTCAGGAATACTGCTCGCTAGAACATTATTTTCAGTAATATTTATCATAGCATTCAAGCAACATATAGCGACACGTGTATCCAACTATTATAAGTAAAATTTATCATAGCACTCATTTATTGCAGCAATTATTCAAACAACATATATCAAAATATGTGTCCAACTACTCATATTACAAAAAAAAGGACTATTACCATAATAAATACTCCTTTTAATGTCTAGTGTGTATAATGTCTAGTTCTAGCAAGCAGTAGAATGACTCGAACACCATGGACTTACTATTTATAACACCTGACCACGTGACAGACACAAAGACCATAATAAAAACTCACTCATGCAAGCATAATATTGATTATATTGCTGAATTATTATTCTTGAAATATCAACTGAAGAGGCGCGATGACCACTCGTTCATACATGTATATCTAGTTTTTAAAATTCCCAAATTATTCTGTTAAAATAATCACATCGAATATATAAATATAATTTTTATATACAGTCACATTAAATATTCATGTACACTGTTCCTTTTCAATTTCCATCTGGAGAAATAAACAAAAAAGTCATATTATATACAGTTATGTTAAAGAGGTGCATAGAGATAAAATGTTGCATAGGAACTTGGTTTCGTTTTAAAAATATTTTAAAATATACACATGAAAAAAAAAACAGGTATACTGAGAGCCACAAAGTTTTGATAATTTTTTTCAAGAACTATTTATATACACGAGAGAAATCCAGATGATGTGACGTTTTGCATTTTCGTTTCTTTCTTTTTTTAAGTATATGTATACCCTTGGTAAAAGAGTTGTATATTAAGCATTACACATTATCTTTTTATCTCGCTGTGTAATACTTACAATGTACATTTGGTTTATTTCTATTCAAATAAAATTTTTAAAAAAATATATAGACTTTCACAATCATCCTTTTTTAGCCAGACATATATAGCTCAATGTATGTTAGATTTATATCTCTCTCGTGTACAGCCGGGTAACATGAAAACAGCCGCCTTTTCCCATAATCCTCAATTAACCCTCTCTCAGGCAAACCCTACCCGGTATTTATTCAAAAAAGATATATCTCTTTCCCTTTCTGTAAAATTTCTCAATATTAAGGAGAATGAGAGTTTTAGAACTTGCACCACTTACGTACATTGTATTCTCATGCATGTTTCAAGTTTCCACAGACCGAATCTCAATGAAAGAATTCGTCAAAGTTTCCTTTTTTTCTCCAAATTATACACATCCATATGGTTACGCATATATATAATTTTTTCTTCATACATGCAGGTTTCTTTTTCTTTATTTATATTAGAGAAGTTGCAACGAATCCATGGAAAAACACTACAACTTTATGCATCGACTTGGTGCAATAATAGACAAAAGATAGACGTGAACTTTGTTTCTCTATTTTATATCAAATGAAGCATTATCTACGAAAATATTGAGAAATAAGTTGGCATTAAATAGTCATCCCTGCTCAGGAAAATGTAAATGTATGTATCATCAATGCATAGTCCTGTTAATTAGATTGTGCACGGGTATATATTTTTCTCTTCCAGAATTCAGCTATACACTACAATGAGGAATAGTAAAACAGAGACCACAGATAAGAGAGAGATTTCCGGTCCCCTCGTCCTGGAGGATCCACTTTTTTGCAATAATTTCCTCATCTCACAGTGCTCAGCCTTAGGAGGAGAGTCCTTCTGTGAATGGTGTATCAAAAAATCACTGATGATGTCAGTGAAGAATGTACCATTGGTACTCAACACGGTGGCTCTATATTGATAAAAAAATTACAAGTTAAATAAGTCTAATAATGTATGACATTTCCATATGTTCCTAATTTGATCATGGCGATGCATTGAATTCAGTGGAGAATTCAGAATTATTAGTATGAGAAGTTTAAACAAAAACTATTGAACAGTTGAAAATCGATTCTGAAATTGATTTCAAGAATTTCACTTCGCATTCTCACGAAAACCCTCTGTATAGCTCAGTTACTTGTGCGGTTTATATCTTAATTTACTCACACGAAGTAGAGAGTTCTGTTCTCTTGTTCTGAGGGAGGGGTCCAGTCTATGGCCACCTGTAACAATCCATCCTTACCTTCTTTGATAACGCCAATAGCAACCCCCTGAAATAGAACGAAAACTTAAAGCTGGGTAAAGAGGAGTGAAGTTTAAATTCTAACAACAAAACTTTATGACAAACGCGTGATGACTTCAACTTTTCTATCGTCAACTTCCCTTATTCATGTAGCAATTGACCATTATCACCTGCATATGGAGTTTATACCTCCCGTTGATTCGATACGCAAGAGCATGTTCCAGATACGAACAATTTCTAAAACGAGTCAAGCTATTGACAAATACTTGATGATATAGGATATCAACAGTCCCGTTTAAAGTCAACATTTTTCAATGGTAGATACAATGACCTTGTTAGCAAATACAGTCTTTCGTTAAGTCGAATGTTGACTGACGTTTTTCATAAACATTATTTTCACACTGAATTGAAACTGGATTTTTCTGTTAGCCCGATCATGACAAGGAGCACATGGCGGTGCTACCGGTCGACAGGGGATGCTTACTCCCCAATGGCACCTGATCTCACCTCTGATGTTTTAAGAGGTCTGTGAACATTCGTTCTGCTCCCAACTTGTATTGTTCCAACGGACTTTTGAGCTTGAATACTGTTCGATATCTTTTTAGTTCATTCTAAATGACAATATACTTTTTCTGATTCAAAATAATCACAGATAAATAGAGATATGATCTGTTATTTACAATTACGTCTAATTTATGCTTATACTAGGAATTAACTGCTTACTATGTCCAGGAATCAGGTGTTATTGTGTAATATAAAACAACACTTTATATGGTGTTCTGATGTTGTGTGAAATTTTAAAAATGTTCAAATAATTAAATATTAGTATCAATTTTAAGATGTTTATCATTCAGTCTGTATGGTGACTCACGTTAGCTAATGAGTTGGCACATTTGACTGTATGCAGGAAAGGTGCTTTCTGTCCCTGTTGGAATATCCCTATCGCTTTCTGATGATCTTTATCCTGACAATTAGCTATCCTCGCCTGTAACAGAGCTCCTCGGATAGGATAGTCAGATTGGAAAAACTTCTTTGTAAATACCTTAACTGAAAAATATATAATTTTGCATTCAAAACATGTGTACAAAGTTGCAATTGAAATGTAAAAAGAGTGACAAGAGTATTTTTATATATAATTCTGATTGTCACTACTGTCACGCTCACTAATTCCCAAATAATTTCCCTTCCCTCCCTTTCCCCCGCCCCCATTTCCTTGAATCTCACCCCATCGTTAGTTTCTACTGTACTAATCTATGGCTCCCCACCCTCTCCACAGATTTCCAGATTCAGCCTTCCTAATTTTAGCGACATTTTCCTAAAATCCTCAGAATTGAACCCATAATGTCATATTAAAATGACAAGGTCTTTGTAAACAAGTATAATGAATGGGCCAGTCTTACCGTTTATAACGGAACTTTTATCATACTCTGCAGGGTTGAACTCGATATCAAAAGGTTCCTGAGATTTCAGCATCTGGGCGTTGGTGGCGTCCTCTGCTAGTGATTCTGGGAACATGTCCTCACACTCTCGGGAGTTTAGGTAAAACGGGTACTCGTCCACGGGCCTCAACAGGTGGACAACACGTGTAGATAAGGTGAGAGTCAAAAGACTGCATAGCAACCAGGAGGCCATCTAATAAAGAGCGTCTAAAGGTTAAACATTAAAATGGAAACAGATCTGCTTAACAGTGCTTATACATACTAATTTTTCTTATGACTTAAAAAATTAAGAAAAATTAAAAAAAAAAAAAAAAAAAAAAAAAAAAAAAAACCTTCCTTGTACTTGACCAGGTCACAACATGCAGACTCAGCTGGCAAAGCACCAGAAGCATGCATACCAAAATAATGGAATCATTTTTCAGCATATCATATAAGAATCGGTAGGTGTAAATATTACATACTGTGGATAAAGCATACCTTCCTATCTCAATTATGTTCCCTCTACATAAGATGTACACTGTAGCAGATCAAGGCTTAACATGCCTGGGAGGATAATCTTTGAAGCCCGTCTCCCTTATGAACTTTGGCATCATCCATCAGATAACTCCAGCCCCAGGATCCTAGACAAGAACATTGACAGATTTTTCCTCTCAAAGTAAATTATTTTCTACATTTACTCGCAAATCCTACTTCTGTCATAAATGTCTGCTTGACTATGAATCCGTTCCTGAGATAACCTGCCTTGTGTAATCATTATAGTTTTTCTTGTAATTCTCGAAAGTATTTTTTTTTAAAATGATGTTCATATTTGCTTATGCTTTTTCTTGCAAGTGTAGTAAACCTCAGCACCAGATAAAATACAAACAAATGTCAGATTATAAGTTAAGCTGAAGGGTATTTACGAAAGCCAAAGTAGTTCAGAAAATAAATTGTCATCCAGGGGTCGTCGCCAAGTAGATGATGGTAAAAAAATATAATGTTCAAAGCACTTCTGTTCTATGAATATGATGCGAACATGGGTTTATTCTGGAAAGTTTCTGCAATAAATGTACGTCTGCACAATGCTATTTTACTTTAAGAGTTAATAAATCGATATCTTTACTTACGTCTAGTGAACTTGGAAAAAAAAGAAATATTGGTAAATTAAGAATTAGGATTATTAAAATTGACGTGGTCTAATTATGCGCATATCTAGGTAGAGAAAAAATACAAAGAAAAAATTATTTTATTCTTAATGATACTGATGATAGCAAAATTGTAAGCCTTAGTTATGAACAAAATAAGTTACCTGAAACGTCAGTTCAAGCAATGCTTACGCAGGGCACGGTTCACAGAAATATATTCCAGTATCAACAGAATTTGAAACAGGCTTCAAGACAATAAACTTATTTCAAAAGTTACATCAATTGAGTCTGATCTCAGTTGATGTCTTGGGGCCGGGTTTTACATGTATGCAACACAAGAGTGTTCGTTCTGCAAGTTTCAATGTTTCTTCAGAAACATGTCATTTGTAGAAATTGTCTTTTAATAATAATTCTTAAGAATTCTATATTCACCAACAAAAAGGTGGTGATGTTAAGACATCTCGAAACATTGTCGAAATTCATAAGAAATTCTTTTTTCGAAAACTCATTTTTTTAACGCAAGCCAACCATTTTTTCATCGTCGAAAACAATCGAAAACTTACTTTGTAGATATACTTCCATATATAACATATATTTCCTTTTATAGCAACCTTACAGGACAAAGTTTTTATACTATGACTGGTGAAAATATGATATGTAAATCTTCAAACGTTGTCTATGGAATTGAATGTACACTATGCTGACTAAGTTATATTGGGGAAACAAAAGGTTCATTCAACAAGAGAATGTCCGGCCATATATTTAATGGGGGTCACCAACATCTTTATAAACATTTCAATTCGCCTGACCACTCAGAGGGTTAGAATTATGGGAAAAATATATATCACCCAACTAACGGTCTTACTTTGAATACTTCATTCAGTAGACAACGTGAAGAATACTGGATCAGGAAACTAGGCACTGCCTTTCCATATACAACGACCACATAAATAATGTGGGAAGCTTTCAAGTCCACAATTTGCCAATGTGAATGTGATGGGTCTTTTTAACAATACACCAAGACGTAAACGTAGTCATGGAAATCGATCCTACAATAAATCAAATATACATGATGTCTCTGTCTCATGTCAGTAAACAATTAGGTCTTCATCATCACATTCGCACTAGTAAACTTTATTCTGTTTCCTAAAATTTTTAAATGGACTATTTGAAAGGCTAAAGCAAGTTCATACGTAGATTCTTCAACTGCAGAACACAAGCTGATTTGTGATTATGGATGTTGCCCAGCACAGACTCTAAACTACCACGTGTGTCGGATGATAATTCTGACCTGACCGATCGGTTCCTTAAGCTTAAATTTGCGAACAGAGGAAGAGATGCTCTGAACATAAGTAATATTTTTAATCATAAAAAAAGCTCAGTCTTGCATTCAACCATATTTCAAGTTGAAGTCTACACCTTGCATTTCTTACAGATATTCACAAACTGTTGCGTCCAAACTTTTCAATTATAAACAAACCCTATATTGCCTAGGTATTGAGCATTTAAAACAAAATCCTGTTGAGTGTTCTTGCTCTTCTTCGTCTTTCAACTACAGTCCCGCCGGACACGTCATTACTGGTGATGTTAATATAGTTGAAAATGAAGACCTTAAAGCAATCATTGTAAAAAGTCCTAAATACAGGGAGCTCCGATCTTTCAATTGGCGACAGAACTTAATCTCCATTATGAATTCTGTTGAAGATTATGCCAAACGTTGGGATAAATATGAAAAGGAAGATCTGAACAGTTTGTCAGAATGGATTAAGTGTTTTAGAAATAAATTGAAGATTCGTATCAGAAAAATAAAAGGCAAAAAGCGCACCATCTTCCCTTCCGTTTTTAGTAAACCGGAAGTGATGAAAGAGTTTGAGCGACTACACAAAAATATGTTATGGTTCCAGCAGACAAGGCTTGAAACAATATCGTCTTTGTTTGTAAGGCTCATTAATATAACTGTATTTTGGAAGAATTTGGTTTTAATTCTACGTCTGGAAATCCTACATATACTCACAGTTCATTTTCCAAAGAAGAAACTCTTCAAATTCATATTTCCCTGTTTAATATGCCAGTAAACCAGGGTGAGTTCGATCTACCCTATCTGTACTGGATTTCTGAACTTCATAAAAATCCTTACAAACAAAGATACATTGCTGGGTCAAGCAAGTACTCTACCAAGCCCTTATCTTTACACCTTTCAAAAATATTAACTGCTGCAAAGGAGAAACCTTCAGATGTACTGTGTTACAGCTTATTCTAGAAGTGGTATAAATCAGATGTGTATCCTCAAAAACTCGAAAGAACTTTTGAAAACTTTAAAATCACCAAATTTTTCTAAAGTCTAAAACATTAAAACTTACGACTTTTCTTCAACTTATACAACAATTCCTCACGATAAATTAAAATCTAGACTTTTTGATATCATAGACAACTGCTTCTTACATAAAAACGGAACTCGGAAATTTTCAAATCTTGTGATTGATCATCAACAAAATTACTTCGTTAAAACCACTCTGGTTGTACACACAAGTACTCTGAGGTTGATATGAAAAGGATGCTTGGGTTCCTCATTGACAACATTTATGTAGTCTATTTATGTAGACTTTGCATAGTATTATGCATTTATGTAGTACATTTATGTAGTCTTCGGAGACCAAGTTTTGCAGCAAACTGTTGAAATTACGATGGGCACTAATTGTGATCCTTTATTAGCTGACCTGTTTTTATATTCTTTCGAATCAGAATTTATTCAAAAACTTCTACACGAGAAGAGGAAAACACTACCTGTGGGCGTCAATTCGAGATTCAGATATATCGTCGATGTTTTATCAATTAACAATAGTTATTTTCATATATATCCCTGTGAACTTGAAATAAAAGACACCACAGAGTCTGCCACATCTGTTTCATATTTAGATGTTTAACTGATTATAGACGATGAAGGCCAATGAACAAGTAAATTGTATGACAAACGAGATGACTTTAGATTTTACATCGTCATTTTTCCTTATTTTTGTAGTAATATTCCACTATCACCTGCTTATGGTGTTTATGTCTCCCAGCTTCTCAAGAATTTGCTCCGAGCACGATTAATTTTTAAAGCGAGGCAGCCTACTCACTGATAAGTTGATGTTTCAGCATTTCGTGAATTTTATGGTCGTTATAATGACTTTGTTAGCAAATATAGCCTACCATTGGGTCGTACTTTGGCTGACTTGTTTCATACCAATTGTTAGGGCATTGTTTTTGTACTGGATTGACTACGGATAGTTCCGTCTACCTGATCAATACTTAGGGCTCACAGCGGATGTGACCGGTCAACAGGGGATGCTTTCTCCTCCTAGGCACCTGATCCCACCTCTGGAATTTCCAGGGTCCGTGTTTTATGTCCTCTTCACATATTTGTATTGCTTATGGATTTTTTGAGATCGATCACTATTCGTTATCTTTACCTTTTACATATGTAGGTTTTTTTTGTATTCGAAATAACTAGTGAGAATGTGCAAAACAACTTTACAGATCTACAAGGGGGACTCAATTCAGTGAGAACATGTTTCCTGTAACATATTTGTCAGATTTATCTGTCTTCACGTCCTTTGTTTTCAATAGAGAGTCTGATATCAAATGCTCACAAGAAATATTGACACAAGGATCAAATAATCAAGGGTAGAAAAGAAGTGCTTTGAACATCATATTTTTTACCATCACCTACTTGGCGACGCGACGACCCCTGATGTCAGAGTAAAGTGTAAATTCAAACATACTCATGGTAATATGTTGAAAACGGCTTTCAGAGAAAGGAAAAGGGCCTACAAAAAGTATAAAGATCTAAAGAAACAAATAACAGGGAAATCTTTTTTTTTTTTCAAATTTCATCCTCATAAATTTCTCCGCTTAATGTACAGGTGCAGATCCAGATTATTTCGGGGGGAGTGGGGGGGGGGGGGTAATCCCAGTCCAAAAAAATGTTAACCAGAAATTTGTTGACAAGCAAAAACGAAATACAAAAAAAAATCCCAATCGTGAAAAACTTATTTTGCCGCCTTCCTTCACTTCTTAAGCTTTATATGGATTTATGAGGGGTAGGCGTTTTCGAGGGGGGGGGGGTCCAAGGTTTTTTTAGTCATTTAATAACTTCACAAATTCCAGAGGGGGGGGCGGAACCACTCCTATCCCCCCGACCCCCTCTAGATCTGTGCATGATGTATATAATTATGGGTCCAATTTTAGATTATATGGAGTTGTTTTTTTAAATCATGGCCTGGAGGCATATTCAACTTTAGAGACCAAACGATCTTTCTAGAAAAAATAAGGTGTGACGATTTTCATGACTTTTAAATTGAAGGAGATACCACTATACAAATATGGGAAAAACAAGTAAATAGAATTGTTTAACAAAATATAAAATTATAAAATGAGTAATATATCTGCTCAGAACTTTCCTCAGTTCAATGTAACATGCAGTCATTAAGACCAGTCCAAGGTTAACGAGGGTTTATCAGGGCTTATAAACAAACACTTGAGTCAAATAATTTTTCTTTTGTTTCCATTTAAACTGTTTACATGCATTCCAACGTCATGTTTAATCCTAAGAGAGTATTATGCATTAAAAAACCCCGCACTTTGACATTAATTATGCACTTTCGCGACAGGTGGTGGTCGTCAGTGACCAGAACAATGGAGGATGACAGCAAAGAACAAACAATCACAGAACAATCGGATAGAACTAAGGGTAGATAACTCCTGTGGTGGTAAGCTTTCTTTTTTTGTCTTAAATATCTTTTCTCTGTATTAAACAACTCAAGGTGATATAATGATATATTTCTTGTGCTAAGTTTTGAAAATTATTGTGTTTCTAGTCTACCTGTCAAAGGTTTAAAAATCAACGTGGATTTAAATTCAATTTTGAGATAAGAGATATCGAAGGTTCTTTTATGTTAGACTATCTGAGTATATATAGGTAATGCTAAGCCTACCCATTTATCTTCGCAGGTACAATAGAAATAAATGATGTTTAAATTCAACGGGTCTAATCAAATAGAAACCTAATCTAACGAGACATTGAAAGTGTTTTGTATAATCCCTATCCCTCAATATGTCTTCATATATCATTACGCAAAACTGCGAGTCCTGTTGGACGAGGCGCGTCAGACAGACAGCAAGCCTTATGTGCAATGACTGCCGAATACCTTTATGCGATGCCTGCTCAGAAAAACACAAAGGACAGTTCAACCATTGGAATTTCTCAAGTCTATTGAAGCAAAAGGAACCAGAAAAAGAAGAGGAAAGTGATAATTATTACGAGGATAGTGACGACGAAGGAACGAACAAGAGCGACAAGGACGTTATCAAAATGTCCAAACTTCTACTAAAGGAAATTTCGGTGAAACTCCCAGATGAAAAAGATTGCAAAGTGACCGGATTGTCTGCTTTTCAGAACGATGTCAGTACGTTAGTGGCAGACGTGGAAAACAGAATGTTGAAACTGTTTGACAATAACCTTGAGCTGAAATGGACAGTCCCGGTGACGCGTGATTGTGTGGGTGTCACAGTAGTATCGGAGAAATCCTTCGCCACAATAGCTGGGAAAAAGCTTCAATATTGGGGCATTGAGACTGATGATGAGGGCACAATCATTCCGAAGAAGGAGGAAGAAGTGGAAATAAGCCACACAGGCTTTGCAGTCCATTCCAATGGCAAATACATAGGGGTTCTAATGAGTTCTGACCATCAGGTTCAGATTTTTCACCTTTCCTGTGACGAGATGCAATCTATAGACTTACACAAAATTACAAACAGACCCATCACTCCGGGGTTCACTCTGCTTCTGGACTCTGATTTAGACCGATTCTACATTTCGGACAGAGACTACGTGAATGGGACCAAGCTTTTGAGTGTGTCCTTTACAGGGGAGCTGGTGTGGGAGTGTCGTGTCCCCGCCTCTGTCGGGGGGATCGCTGAGCTTGACAATCTCCTATTTGTGGTCAGTATAGGTTATGCGAAGATTCATAGAATCACCAAGGACGGAATGGACGTTGGGTCCCTGATATCTGACGAGGGCAAACTTCCGTTCCATATTTGTACCCAACCACTGGAAAAAACATTAATAGTGTCCCATAATTTTACTGGAAAGGATAGAAATATTATAAGAGTGTACAATTTGGAAGAAATTCTTTATGACCATGAAGAATTTGAAAAAGACGACGATGAAATAGAACTACCTTAATATTCTCTACTGTAGAATTTCTACACTTGTCTTTAAGTATGGTGCACATACATTGTAGGTGATAGTGGTGCTTTATTAGGAGACTCTCCAAAAATATTCAAAATGAATACTTGAGATTTACCAAAGTTCAAGAGGATGCCTTATTCTGTATTTTTTAGATTTGAATGATTGGTTGTTAGTTTAAATAACAATTTATCCATGGAATAAATCCGGTATTTAAATTTCATTTTCTTAAGGAGAGTTAGATCAATTTGGACGAAGACCAATTTCAACATTGTAATTCTGTCTGAAAGCAGTATTGAAATTGATGCCCCTTAGTGATTTAAAAACACAACTGAAATACATATTTCACCAAATGTTTTCAAAATATATGGTATTCAGGTTAGAATGTTTCGCAAGACTGGCAAAGGAAAATATACACTAATATACGAATGAATGTTGCACAGAACAGAGTACTTTTTATCAATTTTTGTATGAGAAGAAAATTTTTTGACAAATACTTTTGCAATGATCAGTAAAAATGTACGTAATTTTGTTATTGTTAATAAATCTTTTTTTAAAGTAATTTAAGCTTAGCAAGAATGTATGTAATTGTGAAATTGTTTTCAGCTATTTTATATATATATATATATATATATATATATATATATATATATATATATATATATATATATATATATATATATATATATATATACCTTAGTGTGGCATTTTCTTATATTACTATATGTTTGTAAATTACTGTAGTAAGAATAATCTAGGTTTCCGCAAGAATTATTCTTCCAGAAACTTAGATTATTCCGCCCACATATGATGCCTGCGTCAGTGTTCCTCGTTCAAACGAATTAGGGCATGTTCTGGAATTTCAGTGAACAAATTTATGTTTCCTGTATATGAAGCTTTTTGGTATTGGCTATGAAAAAAATTATTCAATAGGTAAAATGAGGCAATTCATTTGGATTATAATCCGGATTATAATTATCCTTTAATAAGCTTCATAGAAACGTTACGTCTGCGTTTAGTTCATAAGAGTCAGACAAGAGGCAATTTAAAGTATAATGCCCATAGATTTTGACCCTTTATAATACGAAAACATGGCTTTACGTTAAAATAATTTTAATAAATGTTGAACAGCATCAAATAAACAACAAATTGATACATACAAAATAAATAGTAGTTGCCTTAAGTGTCCAAATCAACATTACAACAGTTACAAACTTAACCGGAAGTTCTGATTCTGTCAAGAGCTGCAATTTATTTTACTAAATATTAGAATGCTACAAAACCACAACCGATTTAATGATTATGTACAAAAGTGCAAGGAAACCTTATTTCCAAGCATCGAATTGCCTTTGAGAACGCACTCGGAAACTTTCAATTGTAAAATGCCTTCAAGTCAATGACATTGAACGGATTAACTCAACCGAGGCTGTTATCCTTCTCTCTCACACGGACGGTGTTAGGATCTGGAGTCTCCAAACCGTGGTCCGGGACTGGAGCCTTACTCGACCATCCTTCACAGCCTGTTTAAATTGTTGGGTTCCTGTTTGAATTTGTCAGTAGACTGAGTCATTGTCTCCTCTATCAGAAACGTGAGTTTTCTGTAAAGCACCAGAGTGACAGCTAGCGACAATAGCAGAGGGATGAAGGAAGACACACAGATTATAACAAAAGTGTCGATGCTTGTCTCGGAACTATTGCTATCTGTAACTAAAAAAAAATAAACTTTTTCAACTTTAAAAATAAATTTTGATACTGGAAAAATATTATTTTTAATAGTATATGAAGGTGAAATCAGCTTAAGAAAAAAAACAGTATCTGATGTTTTATTACAAACACTCAGTGACTTCTTTTTCATTCAGACTGTATGTAACCTTACCCTCTCGTCTACTGTGGAGTGGTTTTTCATTACTGTATAAAACTTTGACTTTGAGATCAACATACATTCTGTCGTATTTATCTCCAATATACCCAGTGCCAACTTGACATGCATCCTTTCAAAAGATCACAGGTAAACAGTTGTTAACTTTGCTCTTTCGTTAACATGACGTATTTGTTATTTGTAAAGAAACACATATAAGATGTAATTTATAATTCTTGTAGAAACTAACTTTCACTGCAATAATACAATATACAAACCTTAAAACATTCCCCTGAGTAATCGTAACAGAGAAGAACTTGGCACCGGAAGTAAACATCACTACTTCCAGAAAATCTGGCACTCTCCAGGTACCCGGATGAAAAAAGTTTTGGGTAATCCAACTTTCCTGTTGTCACTTCGGAAAATGTGGAGTTTATGGCGAAAAGATCGCTCTCTGGTCCCACCATGCATCTGACAAGAGAAATGGATGATGACTTTATTAACGGACATGCCTGCAAACTCAGTCATCAACACTAGGTTAAATGCCTCACCCATTCTGGTCAATAAAGGTAACTGTGGGTCCACCATCATTCCAAATATCATTGGATTTAGCAATGCAATTCGTAAAACGAATTTCTCCAGCAGCCTTTGTACCTGTAAAAGAATTAATGTATGTATTTTTAAGGTGCATATTGCAAAGTCTTGGAAGGAAAACAATTCAGAGCATAGGAATTTGCCTCGTACAATTACCTTCTGGATAAGCTTTCAAGTCGTACGTCTTGGAACCTACAAAAATCAGATAATCTTTACCATGTAGATAATGTAATATAATCAAAGAACTGTGAGGATTCACAGCACACTTAATTACCTGACGCTAAAGCAGTGTCTTCATCTATACTACCGTCACAGTCGCTATCAACATGGTCTCCACTAAAGCCTAATGTATTACTGCATCTCTAAAATTTCAAACAAGATAATTTAATCGCAGTAGAAAAAAGAATCCGAAGAAGCAAGAAATCGACAGATTAAGATTGTATGTCCTTTAATGGTTGTTCTTTTTTGGAAGAGTATATCGTGTTGCATAAATTAAAATTCCCGATTTTGCATCAATAATGAAAGCATGCTTTAAATGAAATATTGCGGAGTGTGCAGGCAAAGTTTTTTTTTAAAGATTTTATAAATGAAGAAAATTCCACTGATACATTACCGAGACGTTGTCCATGAATGATTTGGGAGGTATCGTCACGGAGATCTCACGATTGTCCCTCAAGAGTACCAAAAATGATTTACTTGGGTGAGAAACTTGTACTCGTGGTCCAAACCATATGTTTATTGGAAAAGTGAGTCCCATGTAAGATATTCCTGTAGGAACACAACAAAATCAATATTAAACGATTAAGTAACTGAATGTTTTGGACTGTATTATTAGGCGGAAATAAGAAATTTTTGCGTTATAGAAAAGACATGATATTAAGGTTTAATTATCAAAATATATTGAAAGTTACTCGTTTTTGATTTTTTTTTTCATTTTACAACAATTTAAATAGAAAACAGTTAAGCATATTGACAAAAGTCCAAAAGTCAGTTTTCACTTCTCGGAATTTTAGTGTAGTTTTCTAAGAGGGAATATTTCTCTCGAAGACAGGTTAAACGGCTAAGGTGGCATATATTGCGCTTAGTGTAATTGACAAAAATGAAATTAAAACATTTTCACATCGCTCAGCACATCCTCCTTGTAGAGCCAGTTGTACTCTGAAAACTTATTAGCATATTAATGTTCTGAACGACTTTTTAACTCATCAGTTGTGTGATTTTTGAACTTAAAGATCTAGCTGGAAACAGTCCTAACAATGTTAGACCTTACTGGCTTTATTCAGTGAAAGCACTGTTTAACCTCGGCTTTCTATTGTTGTTTGGATTTTCCCATCACCCCTGAAGACGGAGCACCCGAGTACCCTTATCTTTCTTACCACGACAGTACTAAACTAACCTATATGCACATTGTCATGGAGCCATTTTGACATTGTTTAAGAATCTATTAAAAGTTTGTGTTCTCGTCTCTCTACTTTATCAGCACTATCAAAAGCACTATCACCTCGGTGAAAGATAACTGATAGCATAGATTAAAGACATTTGAATATATTTAGAATGTAATTGATTTTATCCAGTTGTAACGGCTCCGTGTGTATACAAGCCATGGAATTTCTGCATAATCTGATGCAAATTTATACTTCATTGAGGAGCTCTCTCTCTCTCGTGCTCTCTCTCTCTCACCTGAATGTCGGAGAACACTTGACCACGATAATGTGGATCCATTCACTACTCCAGCAAGATATCCCCATATTTCCAGATCAGGTTGAAAACCATCTTCGATCACTATTAGAATTTCGTACTCTTTATTAACGAAAGTTCCGAAGCTATAATGTGTAGACCACTGAGAGAAAGGTATCATAGAAGCATATCCCTTCACATCACCCGCTGGCGCTGTCTTAAAATATTGTCCACACGAAAGTGGTGCACTAGATTCTACTAGACAGTGGTGAGTATTGGACGAAGTAAATGTTGCACTTTCATACTGCGGTATAGTATTTTCTACCGAGGAACCATCATTACAAATGTAATTTATCACAGTACTTGGAGTCAAAGAAGTACAAATAATTTCCCCAAAAGTGGGAGGGAACACAAATTTATTTCCCATCTTTGTAGTATCTGCTATCTGTTCCGCGTATCCGTCAGTGCTATCCGTGATACTTTTGGCTCCCACAAAGACAGCTACGGGTTTTGTGGAAACGATCCTCAACTTTGTTAAAGAATCCTTGGCGAGCACCTGCACAGATTCAAACGGCTCAAGCGAGCTTAGAGAGAACGGCTTGTCTAGATTAGTGACGTCACCTTCTAGTGATATATCAGTATTACTCTCAGTTGCGAGAACCACAACTGTATTATCCTTAAACAGTTTATTTATGACATAGTCTCTTCCCAAATAATTTGTTGGAAATAACGAGAAAAGTGTTGAACTCTGAGCAGATAAATAATTAAATGAGTAAACACAGATTTGATGTGTGGAAATTATATGTATAGATTTATTAGTCACTCGTTCTGAACCAGTATGTGGTTCTATACTCAATATTGCGGCTTTAAAACCGAATTCTCCAACAAAGTTGATTAAGTTTTCGCTGCCATTAGAATATACAAGTGTTGTATTTACAGGTTGTGTTTGACGATGAGAAATTATAAGATAGTTCGTAAAAGTAGCATCGGAATCCGAGTCTTGTGGAAGAGCAAACCAAAAATCGTATCCACATGTTCCAACACCTGAAAAAGAAGCTTTTTATGATTTGTTTGACAAGGAAACTAAGAAATCCACCGAAACTTTTCATAGCATACTCACGGTACTCGTTATTATAGTAGTATTCTGCTTTGAAATAAACACTGTCCCCAAGATTAACAGTAGTGGCCTGCTGATTCCTATCATTGAACAGTTCAAATCTTAATAAATCTTTTTCTGCGGGCAAAAACGCAGACCTGAAATTTCAAATTGAAACACTGATAATTGAATGGGTTAAGATTTCCCTTCCTGTTTAATATGGGAAATTTTTACTCTGGTGTTAAAAGTGAGCACAATTAAAAGAGCAATTTGCTTACTAGTATTTGACAACAGTATGACAATTTAAATGTTTTGGGCCTTCATTGTTGTTTTGGCTGATTACACGTAGTAATCATGTATTGATTCCAAACTCACCTCGGCAAAACAGCGTTTGTTTGACTACCATCAGATCTGTCACAAACGGCATCGAAGAATGCATCATTCGTTGATTTTACTCCCGGGTGTTCGAATGATCGTACTCGAAGTCTGTACTCGTTAATGTTGGTCTAAAACATATTTGAACTATACTGTTATTCTAAGGCTTACACTAAATCCTTTGTAATTTCTGGGTTACATATAACTGTAACGATTGAAAATGTGTTCACATAAAACCTAAACATACTGTACTTTACTTTATCTCTATTACCACCACCATAAGGTTGATCTAATTCTGAAACTTTAATTTATATATGCAAGAACTGAAACTTCAACAAGAGACGGATCCCTTGACTTACAAACAGATATACACTGTAGTATAGTCTTTTCAGGATGCGTATACTCTGAATTTTTCCTTTAATCTGACCTTTTGCTTTAACATTATTTATTGAAATTCTAAAGTTATTTTGTTAACCTTGTTAGGTGACTGACAAAATGTTCTATTAATCATGAAAATCGAGAACATAATTTTTATCTTCATGAATTAATATCGGCATCGTTTAACTTACATTTTAAAGAAAGTACATACATGTGTATAATCTACTTTGAGAGGTACCATAACCTATCGTACGTATAAGGTACAATCTATATACGAACACTGCTTTTAAACAACTTGCTGTACATATCATTTAAATCAATCTACATTCACGGCTTTTAAAAGAATTAATGTATCGTTTAAATTTGTTTTTAGCACCGACTCAAAGTATCTTTCAAATTACAGCATTGATGAAAATATTTCCATGGTTGACTCAAGTCGTTAACATACATAGCTTCGTTTGATCGTTGATCGCAAACATATATTTGGTTCCAGACAAAATGCATAATCCCCTTTTTATTGCGTTATGATAGACACTTGTGCAATCATTTTTCAAGGGTTTTTTTTTTAAATATTAATTCCCAAATTAAAGTATGTTTGTGAAATTTATGGATCGAATAATCCAGATACGTGAAGTACTTTTAAAAACAAACGCCCAGACTTCAAGATTCAATAAAGAATAATTACGGGTAATAAGGAAGCCAATTACCCGAGAAAAAAATTGGTTCTGATCACCAAATTTTCCTGTTTCATCTTTTCAGATTTCCTGTCTATCAATCTTTTTTTTACTGTATATTTTTGGAAAAATCTTAAGTTTCTGTTTTGGACGTTGGTGAATTATTTGATGTGTTGTGAAATAGTGAGACTAATGTTCCTACTTTCTGGGCGGGCACGCTGTGTTTGAAATGAAATCGACAGCGTTCATACCCCCTTACTGTTGTCTACTCGGCAGAAATAAATAACAAATGGCAGATGCACTGTTGAGTGTATAATGCATGAAGTTTTTTTTTAAATATTTTTTGTCGGTGAAATAGATCTATACATACTTTAATTTCTTTGCATTTTATAAAGACAGAATTCAATCGTTAAAACTTACAACTACAATTCCACATGGATATCTGTCTGAGGTGGCGTCAAAAGTCACCGTAATAGAAAAGGGTGTGGCCAGCTCACCATTTCCGGTCACCTGACAGCCTTCGTCATTGATAAGCCTACTTAAGGTTGGATCATTCTCCCGCGCCGTGTACACAGACATCATCGATATGACGTCATTTTCCTTAACTATACTTAACGACATTCTCAGGTTCTGGTTATTGGTGCCGCTTAATGAACATGCCACTGTAGCTGAAAAGAGTTATACCGACTTAATGAACATGCCACTGTAGCTGAAAAGAGTTATACCGACTTAATGAACATGCCACTGTAGCTGAAAAGAGTTATACCGACTTAATGAACATGCCACTGTAGCTGAAAAGAGTTATACCGACTTAATGAACATGCCACTGTAGCTGAAAAGAGTTATACCGACTTAATGAACATGCCACTGTAGCTGAAAAGAGTTATACCGACTTTAATTTTATGCAAAGTGTCCATAAACCTTGGCCTCGCTTGTAGCTGGAAATCTTAGACCATTGAAGATATAAAAAAAATACAGTTTGATGAGGACTCTACACGTAATAAATTCCAAAATATTATCCACCCCCTGGGGCCTGATCCCTGGACTTGAGGGACACGAATTGTACCATTTTTGCAGAGAGCTAGCTGTTCATTATAAATCCGACATTAATCATGCAAACATAATGCATGCTAGTGTCCATTAAGGGAGCTCGAGAGGAGAGGATTTTCCAAGATATATATATATATATATATATATATATATATATATATATATATATATATATATATATATATATATATATATATATATATATACAGGGTTGTCCCTAAGAATTGAAATAGCAGGGGACATTAAAAAAGTAGAAGGGGGTTTGGGGTTCCTCCCCTGAGAGGGGGTTGAAGGGGAATATCAGAAAACCAGGGGATTACGTCATTATAGGTGGGAAAAATTCGCCATTCGACAAATTCGAAAGTTGAAAAATTCGACAACCCTGTTAATATATATATTTATCATATACTTAGTAGAAAATACATCGATTCCGCACTGTACGATACGGATGACGTCACAATACCCCATATCAGGGACCTGTCCGAAAATTAACTTGATTTTATTTAAATATAAATGTAATATATTTTATTAGTAAAATTTTTTGACTTAATTTGTTTTCAATGACCTAAAATTGGCTCTATTAGATTTAAAAGAAAAGGCCATAAACATGCACGAAACATTCTTAAATGACTTTATGTGAATTCGCATGTTTAGTATTTTAAATATATGATAAATAGAATACTACACACTGAAATTCATATGTCATATCAGCCCTCGGGCCCCATATCATACCATGATATGGGGCCACTCGGGCTGATATGACATATGATATGGATTTTAGTATGTAATATTCTCTCTCTCTCTCTCTCTCTCTCTCTCTCTCTCTCTATATATATATATATATATATATAAGGCCCACTCAGGGGCCTACAGACGAAGGGGATTTGAATTGTATACAATCAATTCTAATTGAATTCATAAAAACAGTTTTGCACACTAGATGTCTTGCAGGAAAAAGATATCAAGGTTGTAATGTTTTTTCAATATATATGGCCAACCCTATCCCACCGTGGAACCTTAGACTTAGCCCTGGACAAAAAAAAAAGAATTTTGTCATTTTGACAAAGGGTTAAGTCCTCATTGTTAACAAACCAAAAAAAAAACTGCCTGTAAAATTTCCACTAATTAAGATTTTCAAAGGTTTAACGTACCTTCAATGCATGGCTAACTTAGCCCCAAAGTGAGACCTGAAGCACAGTTCTGGTCTTGTAGAGTAGGCTTTCCCCTCTAAAATCTCTAGAGTAGGGATTCCTTGGGGAAAACTGGCTGTACAGGAAATCATACTCTACAACTGCGGCGTTGTAGGGTAGGATTTCCCCCATAACCACTCCCTGGAAACTGTACTATAGAGTAGGATTCCCCCTAGGGGAAATTTTTAAAGGGCACCCTATAATTATTACACATAGTAGGATTTTTTCCCCGGAAAATGGAATCTGGTGTGGGATTTCTGTAGGGCAAATCCTGCTCTAGAGAAAATTTTCCAGGGAGAAATCCTTCTCTAAAGTCAGTTTCCGAGGGGGGGGGGATTTTTTACGGGGGAAAGCCTACTTTACAAGACCGGTGGTCATGAATTTTACAGTTTGGGTAGAGGAGTAAGTGTTTACTCTTTGCTAAGCCTAAGGGAAACAGTTTGCCTGCTTAATATTGATGAGAAAAAAAGTTTTTTTCAGGGATCTACTGTATTTTTAATATTTGACTACCTCAGGGCCTGAACCATGAACCGAGGAGTCTTGAATTTTCCTTTTTTTTTCTTTTTTTTTTCTTTGTTTTTTTTTTGTTAAGGGCTTAATGAAAACAGTCTTACTGTTTGATGTCCAGTAGTAAAGAAGAAGATTTTTTAAAATTCCCATTAATTTTTAGAGTTTTGGCAATATCCTCAGGCCCAGATTGGCAGAGTTCATTCCTTCCTGACTTTTCGAAATTTATGGACGACGCACGACGACGGACAAAAATGGATAGCAATAAATCACCTGGGTGATTCAGCTGACCTCATAAAATATTAAATCATTTTTTTTTTTATAAACTATGAAAATCAGCAATGAATTGATCTCTGCTGAAAATGAAATAAACGTTTTATTACCTCATTGTTTAGTAAGAAGGAAAGGGCGAACCTTAGTAAGGTGGAAATAATGGAAAGTAGATCGGTATATCTAACACATAGAAATATATCTTTGCATATCTCTAGCAGTTTCCTACGGTGAATCTCTGCATCAATTTATTTTAATTTTTAGTCTTAAAAATTTTTATTGAGTTACTTAGATAACAATTAAGGAAACAAGTACTACATGTCCCTAACAATAGGATGTCGAAAATTCGTGACAGTATATGAAATACTATTCCAAATGAAGTGTGTTTTAAGTGATAAAAGGCATATTTAGACATTGTTTTGTTTTGGGGGTTTTTAATGAATTTTTCTCTTGTACGTGTAAGAGCACCCAAAGGAAAGCCACTTGTCCAAGAGAAGAAACACGTACATAAGAACATTATTATTATTTTATTTCATGTCACTTAAAAATTTTCATCTTTATAGATTGAATCGGGCCAGCCTAGTTACCAATACATTTCTGAGTCCATGTCTATACATGGGTTAACCACTTCTATGCCATAGAAAGACCCCTTTCAGAGAAAATTTGGGAAAATGATGGATCATCCATTGCCGTCAAAGAAGTGTACGTGTGGTCTATTTTTCCACAAAGCGAAAGTTTTGAATTCAATTTAAAGGTTGACATAAGAATTACATAAAAATTAGCCTACCTTTCTCCGATCTCACGTTACAAATAACCTGCAAAAATTGAATCAAAAAAATTGTTACGTGATGCAATTCACACATTTTTGGATTTTGAATTCACAGAATTTACTGGCATTTTACCAGTTAATACACCTATGTTGTACATTCTTTAAGGTACAGGTAAAATTCTATTCTTTAGATAATCGTTGAGATTTATATCATCTTTTATTTTTTATTGTATTCAAAACTATCAATATCAGATTCCCAAAACACAAAATCATACACATAAAGAGAGGGGGAAATAGCGAGATCGTATAATTCTATTGTTTTAAAGATGTATCTTTCATTTAAACGTTTTTTTTAAAAAATCTTTTTTCAATCATTGCTATTTAAATTTTTCTGTCGTTACATATACTTCAAAATTGCAAGTACTTAACCTTAATCATGACATAATAAACATACACATGTAAATCATTTATTAGTACATTATGTGATTGAATGATTCCTGGCTTTCCATTCGCCTGAAATCCAATATTCTAGATCATTAAAAGAATATGCTTACCTGCATTCTACCTTTCAAGTGAACATATGTTTTTGGACCAAAAAAAATCCAAATTGATATGAGTAGTTATGTCTCATGAAAATTCTGCGTCTCATTGCATTGCTAGAACTTTAACAACTTCGAACAATTGAAACGAAAATAGTGATTTGTGCTTCTCGAGTCTGCATGATATAATCATTAAATATTATAAAATAACTGTCATGGTATTTATTTTTCGAAGTACATTTACCTATCCCTTAGGACTCGGTGAATATTGTACTTCTAGGGTAGCTAAATCATCACATTGACCTTAAATATAGCAATATTGTTTTCAGATTCATGAATAGATTCTCTTTAAAAGCGAATAAATGGTAAAAGAGATACACATACAACATATTACAGTGCGAAAGAGTAGAGCATATTAGGACTGCGAAGAGCAGTCATAACTCATTCTGTCAAAGTCAGAACTCAATATATACAGTTTTCTGCAAAACAAGAAGTTGTCTGCACATTTCAAAATCTTAAGCATTTGATTTGCGTATACACAATATTTCTTTACCATAAAGTTTTTCCGAATATTAGACAATACAAGAAGTGGAACTCGGTTTCTAATTTGATTGTTATAACCAAGGACCTATATACTAGACATTAGTATATAGCATATATTTAGTATATACATGTAGGACCCTGTTATAACACAAATAACACACTCTTTCATGTCTTAAAACATTATTCTATCATCCACCTTTTTTTTTAAAAAAGGGGACATTTTTCAATTTTCTTCACATTCGAGCTTTAATTTGCAAATTCTCTATGTTATAGCTTTTCTGAAATTATCAATTTATCACTAAAACATTTTTTTTAAATAAACTGATCTTTGATCTTTTGGTTTATTGTAGTGGCAATAAACTTTTCGCTTTGAAAACTGATAATTCCAAAGCAGGTTTTTTTTTTATCGCTCAGTAAAACATTAGAAATGTTAGACCTTTCTTAATATAGATTTGTGTAGAAAACAATTTTTAAAGGTAAAACAATATATATTATTATATTATTTGATAATCCAAAAGTAGCAGAGAAATATATATACAAAAATCTAAAACCTCATGAACAAATTCAAATTAAAAATTTCCCTTACTATTTATGCGCAGATAAATTTCCTTATTAAAAAAAACATTATATAGTAATAAATTGTTTATTTAAATGAAAAAAAAAGACTGTTTTTTGCTTCAGCCAGTGGTGAAAATTTGTTGTGCTCAAAGACATTTTATACACCAGGAAACAAACATAGATGTCCGCGCAAGTGGTTACATTTGTGCTTTGTCTTTCATGTTAAACTATAACAACTATCTTTTGAAATACCTACGTTTGACCAAACCACAAACCATGCTGCAAAGATCACCATACTAGTTCCGTATATTCCTCTATCTTCTCTCATTTCCTGAAAATAATGTATTTATATTTTTTTTGTCCAAATATTCTTTATGCTCCAGATATAGGTGTAAATCGTTTACGTTAAAGACATCAGTAGAGGGTTTTATTTGACGATTTAAATGTTATTACAGATGACTATGAAGAAATACTTAGTCCATAAATTGTCACCACAAAGTCGCCTTTTTTTCTGGATTTCAGAATTTCGAAGAATTTAAATTGTGAATATATACAAACTGTGATGAAAATTTAAATAATATAATATGAATTAGTACATTTTAAACTGCAATCAGTTTTTTTAACTGAAGTCTTATAGTGATTATAGAAAGATCATAAATAATCTGAAATAGCACTCATTGATTTAAATTCATTTCACATGCATGATATTTTTTTAAACTTAAAATTGATACTAACCCCGAACTTAGAATTTCAAACAATTTATGATCATAAATTATTTTTCAGCAAAAAAATTCGTCAAATATTTTTTGTCGTTTACACACTTTCTATACTTTTGTTAAACCCTTCCTCGGCAACTTAAGAAAGATTTATTGTAAATATGAAGAAGAAGATTTTATCAGATATATACATTTGTATACTCCTTTAAGAACATACTTTGCTATCTCTTACACTATCAAAAATCAGAATACATTGTAAATGTCCCAAATTTTTAACTAAAAATTATTTAAAACTTGTTACAGACCTTTGACCTGTTTTTTATAACCGTAACCCCCTATCCCAACTCATCCGCAAAAATCAAATTTCTATGCAGTAGTACATTTGAGTTTTATTTATAAAAGTGAAAGAAATATTTTATGAAATGTCTTTGGAAGAGATGAGTAAATTAACATATTTTATACATTATTGTTTTTTTTCTCATGAAATACACAATTCTGTAAATTGCTTATGGAGAAAGATAATGTTAAAACAGGGTATATTTTATTTAAGTTGTACTGTATAAAATTTCGAAAGTTTTGTTTCGCCTGACAAATGAGAAAAGTTGAACGAAAAATCTTAAAACTTACCACTAATTGTAACGTATATTTCCATGATAACTGTAAGTGTCTAAACTCTATGCTCCAGTTAATTAATGATATTGTTTTGCCTTTACAGGTTGTCCGACTGACCAAAGGATTTACAGAAACGTGTGCCTGTCCAGGTACGAGGTTGCCATTTATATAGACGCCTCATCCTTATTTCTATTTTATCAAATTTCTTAAATTGAAAATTCAAAACATATGTAAATGAATGTTATAGATCGTTATCACTGCTAAGCGTTAACCACACACACAAAGTCCTCTAAGGAGATGATCCAAACTGACTCCCCTATATTAACTAGATACAAGAGAGACAGAACGGGGGAGACGTTATGATCTTCAAATACAATGCAGAAAGCCTCCCTTATATGCATCGTATTCATCAAAGAGAAAAGTGAAGGTCTTATCTTGATGTTCCGTAATAAAACTGATGCTATCTACCTTGAAGCTATAACTATTTCATTAAGGTCACTGGGGATCTTAAGCAGACCGTAAATTTTATTTGGAACCTTGGAATACAAAACCGCGCGATTTACAAGTACTCATAAATTGAATGACTTAATCACTGTGAGAAATTCCGACGGAAAATGCGGAAGAACTTACCTTCATTTTTTGTTGATTTCATCCTGTATACTTAAATTTAAGTTCTTATATATCGCTCGCTTCTCCCAATACATAATCCGGTTTTAAACAAGTTAACGATACTCCTAATGACATTAGATTTTCTGATTATTTATGGGAATTTATTCTCGCCATTTCTGGTCTGTTGCTTTAAGTTTGAGCCTTTAGTCGACCGGAACCAAATTTCACATATCTCATATGACTGGCAAACAGCCCACTCTAACCATTGGGATATTAAATGTTTACCTTTTTTCATCAGCATGTTTGCGATTCCTAAACAATATGCATGTCGATTTAAAAAAAAAAAAGAATTTGGCACCGGAAAATGAATCAATGCCTAAAGTATTATTTTGACTGTTATATAATTAGTACATAGCTTACCAAGAGAATATTGTGATAAAACAACTTACAATATATTTCTGAACACCCTTCAAGACGAAAAGAAAATATTTTTTATCTTTATTATATTTCTACAAAATATCATTTCACACATGTTGAATCGATCAGAATAATTCATTTTGATGCTAAAAAATTCAAACAGTAAATCTAGCAAATAGTTTCACATGTTGCTGTTTTCTTATGTTGTAAATAAATTTTTATATAAAATAATTATATTGATCTCTTCACTGACTATGTAATGGATAAAATATGGAGATAATAAACAGTACTCAAGCTCAAAAGTACACTGAAACAATACAAATCGGAAACAGAGCAAACACGGACCTCTAAAAGCATCAGAGGTGGAATCAGGAGCCATGGAGGAGTAAGTATCCCCTGTCGACCAGTCATACCCAGTGTGCTCCTGTCATGATCGGGGATGGAAAAATCTGTAAACAATTCAGTGTACAAATAATGGCTTAACAGTTAGTTTGAAAAAATCAATCAGCATTCGACTTAATGATAGATTGTATGCTAACAATGTCATTGTATCGACCATAGAACTTGCGAAATGTGACTACAAACGAGACTGTTGATATCCTTATTTCATCAACTTGTTTGTCAAAAGTTTGCTTCCTTTTAGAAATTGTTCGTAGGTAGAGCATGCTCTTGCTTATCGGATCAACTGAGAGACATAAACCCCATATAGAGGTGATAAGAGTATACTGCTACATAAGAAAGGGAAGTTGACGATAGGAAAGTTGAAGTCATCACGTTTATCATAAAGTTTTGTTGCTAGGTGACCATTAACGTCTTTTTGTAGTAAAATACCCAGATATGATACAGACTGTCAGACTCTGTTGTGTCTTTTATTTCAAGTTCACTGTGATATATCGAATTGACAGACATATGATAGAGGTAACTATTTTAAAATGACATATGTATCAACTAAGAAGTCAAGTCGAGATTTGCAAACTTGGTGATGACTTGAGAACAAATGAAACACCTTTAGCGGTGTACATGTGAACTACCGTGGATTTTATCGACAAATGTAACAATTAAAGGTATTTGTAACAAATTTTACACTCACATTGTGATTAAAAAAAAGAAGTTAAACTACCTGTTTCAATGAAATATCAGGTCTCTTTTTGATCGTACAGGATAATCCCTGCCAATATAGTTTCACTCAAAACTCTGGAGTATCCGTTTTATTGACTTATCTACAAATCTCTAGATAGATCAAAATATTTTAAGCTCCTTTCTAAAGACATTACAGATACTGACACAAATAGCCAAATATATTACAGTGATTATCATTTGCCTTTCATTGAACCATAAATTACACGGATGTGCACTCAAATGAAAGAAAAAAGCTTTTGGCGCCTATTGAAAATATATGATTTTCAAATTTAAAATAATCAAGTTCATACCCTTTTGTCACTTGGTATTTCAAAAGTTACCTTTTTAAATATGTTTTCTTAGTATTTGAATATTAATTCAACTTCTAAACATTTAAATTTAAAGGGGCTTCGTAGTTTCGGAAAATATTCATGTCAATCCTCCATTAACTGTCGTTCTTTAGAAGTTCTTAATTACTATAACCTGACAGAACAGTCATGTGTATATTTATTTATTATGCTCACTCTCAAATTGTTATACTATGTTATATAAAAAATGTATTGAGTAATATACTATACATTCAATAAGGAGACCCGTTTATTGTTACTTATTATTTAGTTTACCGATCCGATTTTATCATTTACCATAGAAGCTTATTAAAACTGGAAATACTGGTATATTTTTTTGTATCAATTGGTGGCGTAATGAAATATCACTACATTCTAGGTAGAAATAAATCAGTCATTATTGTTTATTATATTTCCTTTAATCAGCGATAAATTTATTTCAAATTAATTTAAGTTAGAAGCAAAACGTTTTCAATACGGGGTGCTTTTTTTTTCAAGTTCATCTCAATTTAACTCTCCCTTGTCTGTCACTTTTGATATTCTTCCATCTATTCATGATGGAATTTTGTCCCCCGCTTTCGCGAAAGCACGGGGTCATTAAATCTCATTCGTCTGTCTGCCCGTCTGTCAGTCACAAAAACTTTAACCTTGGTCAAAACTTTTGAATGAAAAAATATAGGGCTTTTCATATCTCACATATGCATTACCTGTGACAAGATGTTTTCGAATATACTGTGAATTTTTTCCTTATTACCTTGACTTTGAAGTATGACTTTCTTTTAAAAAAATTTAACTTTAGTAATACATGTAACTTTTTAAATAAATAAAGAAGATAGGGCTTTCATTTTTCTTGCGTGCAATACCTGTGACAAGACCTTTTTTGAATGCACTATTGTTTTTTAACTTTAAAGTTTGGTCTACATTTCAAATATTTTAACCCTGGTCGTAGCTTTTGTATCTGAAAAGACAGTACTTTTATATTTTTACATGTGGATTACCTGTTTTAACATCTTGTTTCTTTGCACCCCAGCCATTAAGACCCCAAAAGCAAGGGGGGGGGGATTCTCTGAATTTGCTTGTTACTATTACTCCTTTTTCATCTAATGTCAGATTTTTTCATCATACAATAGCTTAATATTTGGTAGACTTCGTAGCAAAAAATTGAAAAAGAAAAATCAAATGAATTAGAAGCAAGTTCTCATAATTACGAGATCCTCTCTACAGATATTGCAAATTCAACCAACATCTGACAATGTCTGTATATTTATAAATTCTTTTCAGGGTATTATAAAGTACATTTTATGGTATAAACTAAACATTGGTAATCAAATATTACGAAGCTCACTTCGACAATTATTATCTTTAAGTAAAACAAAGTTTCTCACCAAGTAAATGTTCTGGTGATTTGCATCCCTAGATGCATCTTCCATGCAAGTTTTATCACAGGCTTATAGTTACGTGCTTAGGAGCGGATTTTTTCATTAACCTTTAAACTGATCAGTCATCTGAAAAAAATGTACTGCAGATCAAACATCAAGCATCCAAAGCAAGTTTGGTAGTGTGCATCTCTAGATCTCTCATTCAAGAAAGTTTGGTCACCTTATATCTTGTATATAGTTAATTAAGAATTAACCTTCTTCAAAAATGTTAGCCAGATCAGTCATTCAGAAAATGTAGGTCACATCCAGAATCCGAAGCAAGTCTGTTGGTTATTCCTAATGTTTATTGATTTGTTTGTATTCTTATAAAAACATGTCTATTTTTCCTTTAAAATTATCCCTAACCATCTCAATATGTTCTTGACAACATGAATCCGACCTTTAAAATATGACCTTAAATCAAGGCTTAAGTGAAATGATATATGAAGAAAGTAATTATGCTTGAAAATCAAATTAAACAATAAAAACAATTACAGACAATTCAGTGTGAAAATAATGGCTCACATTTTTCTAAAAGACGTCCTAACATTCGACCTAAAGACAGACTGTATTTGCAAACAAGGTCATTGTGTCGACCTTAGAATTTGCGAAATGGCTTAAAAAGAGATTGTTGATATCCTTGTATCATCAACTTATTTGTCAATAGCTTACCTCGTTTTAGAAATTGATCGTTTGTGGAACATGATCTTGAGTATCTATTCAACTGGGAGACATTAACTGCATATGCAGGTGATTTGGGTATATACCGTTTATGGAAGCTGGCGATAGAGTTGGAGTCATCAGTTTACCGTTAAGTTTACTTGTTAGTTTGCCATTAATGTATTTTTCTAGGAAAACATCCAGATATAAAGCAGATGTGTTAGGTCTGTGGTGTTTTTTTTAATTTCCAATTCAATAGGATATATCGTATTAACGTAGGAATGAAAATGAATATTGTTAATAAATAAAACGTCGTCGATATATCTTAATGTCGAATTGAAGGCCACAACAAAAAAAACTTCTTTTCATGTCAAAGTTTTTGAATAGGTCTGCTAAAACGGGTCAAAACAAGTACTACACATAGTATTCATGGAAAATGTAACGGATTGTTGGAAGTCATGGGCCACGTTTTACAAAAGAAATTACAACTAAGACCAAAATTTAATTTTGCAAATAGCTTTTTATTTTACATTGATTTGAAAATGGTCTGATTTAAAAAAAAAAAAAGAAAGAAATAAAAAGTATATTTTTATGCTGACAATTTTAAACAGAATCATTAATCTTGTAAAATTTTACAACCTAAGCGTTTAATCTTGTCGTAAGCGGATTTTGTAAAACGGGCCCCTGGTCTCCAAAAATACACAGATATTGTTTATGAGAAACTTTCTTTTTACCTTCAACCTCGAATAACTTGTGCGGAGAATTAACTATTTTACAAAATAAGTTTGCAGATGACCATTGACAAGGCATGAAAATTTACGAGTTCCATATTTATTGAAGAATTGTCTATGATGTCAAAAAGCTGCTCTTTAATTTATATTTGGGAATGGTTGTATAACATACACAAATTTATGTAACCCGGATATTACCAAAAGCCCTTGACCTACTGATTTGACTTTGAATCAAGATTGAGACATTGGCACTAACATATCGAAGTTTAAATCAATTTGAATTCGTTGTGGTCCAAACACTTTTTTAATACTATTTCAATACCAAGTGACCTTGGGATATGACCTTTAGTCAGAATATATGTTAAACCTTTCAGTCATACTGAAAATTGAATCCGTTCCAATACAGGGTGTGATACGTATGGCCCAGGTACAATTTTGTGACAGGCAGACAGAAAACCATGCCAAAACCAACACGTCTTCCCCATTGGCTACTTCTTAAAATGTCAGAAATTAAGAAAACCCCTACAAATGCCCTTTAATGAAAGTAACATGATTTGAGAGAAAAAAAAATGTGTTGTCCTCTCCACCCAAGCTTAAGAAACGGGTTTAGAATTCTTCTGGATTTCAATTAATTCTCTTAACTCTTAATTCTTTTCTAAAAACAATGTCCAAATCATGTTAACAAATGTCTTGTAAGATATAACAAAATATATAAAAGAAGTGAGAACTTGTTGATGTTGCTCCTGTAGTCTGATGCAGCCTCGTTTTCGGCAATTTGAGGAAGTGCTTTGAGTTTTGGACACTCCTTTGAATCATCTTGGTCGCTGCTTTTTATTGCCACGTACCGAATTTCTTCGCTATCGTTATTTACATACAGGTTACCATGACTACCTATGATGGTGGCTCTGAAAAATAATCAAAAGTAAAAACTGAGGAAGAGCCAAACTTGTCTGTGTACCTTAAAACACCAAAATTAGGTTAGTGTCTGTGAAAAGCTGTTGCAGAAGTACAATTTCAAGAACTACTCAAGAATAATTCGGTCTAATACATGTACAGTGTATGTAATTTTACTATTTAAGGTTGTTCCTAAAGACGGCAAAGCTTTTTTTGAAAAAAGCTATACTTGTTAGTGTGTGCGAGTTGATAAATGAAGCCGGCTTTACAAGGATTGTCACGTGCTTCAATGTCAATTATCACTCCATATACACCAAAAATGGATGCTTAATCCAAGTACATCAGAATTTTTGCTTTAAAGGGTTGTTTAATTGTTTGTTTACTTCTAGAATTTTTTACTCATGTTATGACGCCACGCATAGCCGGTGAAAGGCTGCAAATTCTAGGCGCTTCTGGTCATTGTGCAGTGCATGGGGTATCTTTTACGTACCAACACTAATGCAACACCATTGTCCGTCCATGTACCGTAGTGGACATGCATGGACCCATACGTAAGAATCATCTCCTAACTACGCGACTCTAGAACGAAACATTCTAACCACTATGTCGCGCGGACGATTATATAAAGGGTGTCAAGAGAAGCAAAGCATAACAGAAACCGCCACGACTAAGAATAAATCGGATAGAATCGACAAAATTCAATCGGCAATGATATTGATTTTTCCATTTAAGCAGGTTCAATTTGAAATTATTAGAAATTTGATAAACATTCTCCATTCTAATTAAAATTCTAACGTCGAGCTGTTGAAATCTTTGTGAGGTTAGAATGTAAATGAATCATAAATTAAGTTTAACTGTTGTACTATTTTTTTTATATTAAATTCCTATATTCAAGAATGCTCTACATAATCTCCAAGATGAATTTTATTGTAGTGTATGATTTGATTGTCGACGGAGATTGTGAATTTTCCATACTTGTTAAATGGCGAGGAACCAAACGCAATGCTCAGTTAACGCCGTTTCAAAACAACATGGTTCTTTGATTTAATTGGTGTATAGATTATTACCATCAAATGTACTTTAAATCACAATACAGCTTCCTTCAGAACCAAAGGGTAGCTAAAAGTATGAGGAGATTTTTGTATACAATTAAATCAGTTGTTCGGGTGTAGATAAGACTTTAAATGGAAAGAGATCTTTGAATTTTGGGAGGGAGGATTGTTTGCTTTCAATATAAATCTTTAAAAAATACTAAAAATACAGCAGATATCTTGTTAAGTTTATCTTAAGATCACATCAGCGGCACTGTTGACAATTTATAGTTGGATTTAATCTTCTATACATCTTTATATGCGTCGACCAATATGTTTTCTACCTTAAGAGCGATACTTACCATGATATGCAAATACGTTTAATTATAACTGATAATTTAAATAAAATACGAATGGTGCCCAAATGCTACAAGTGTGTAAGAATGCTACATCAAAATGAGTTTTTCTTTTCGATGCAACGAAGATATTTGCATTTTCATATACATGTATACTCGTACAAGTGTAGTATACTGAAACAAACTATTCAGCAATACAACAATGCCAAAAAAGATTTACAATTTATATATTTGCCTCCATGTGAAGAGGAATAAAATCAGCAGATATTCAAGCCATCCTCGTGATCTAACAATTGTTCTGTTTTTTTTTTTGTTTTTTTTTTAATGTTTAATGCCATGAAATAAATACCTAAATCTGAGTTTTCTCTTGGTGTTGGTAATGATAAAATTGACTTCTATTTTTCCTTGGTAAGGTTTACCTGTCCAGTGTTTGGTCGAAACCGCACCCTGAAATAAAGAGAAACATCCTTAATTTTACTCTTCTTATAGTAAAAAAAACCGCGACCTGAAATAGGACGAAACATCCTTAATTTTACTCTTCTTAAAGTAGACAAATCCCCGCCTTCAAATAAGATCGAGAGACATCCTTAATTTTATTTTCCAAATAGTAAAACAGCGATAGAATCGAAATTCTTCACATCTCTGAGCGAGTTACCTTTGGATTTCTTCTGCAGTTGAGGAATTTGAAGTAATCATTTCCGGGAATCATTTCGAACTCTCCCACATTGTGATCGACATCCGGTCCCTCACATCCGCCCAATCTGGGCTGCAATAACACTCCAATTATCGGTCGATCTGTCATGTTTTCCACACTTACTGCAAAAAAAATTAAAACGAACACTGTTTATGAAATGGATAGAATGATTCTCTATTAAGGTTCTAAAAAAGAGATATTTCGCATGTAAAATTCGTTTTTAACCTTCAAAAGGAATTTACCTTAAACCCTCATCCAACATATAAGTAAATGGGAAATGGCTAGATATAGCGCTTCTATTCAAGTAGTGAACATCTCTGGATTTTTTTTTTCATACCTTGAATGTGATGCATTGCTTCATGGTAAATTGTGTCACTAACAGCAACTTTAAATAGGTTTTTGTCCTTCCTCGGGGGTGATCGTGACCCAGAGGGAAGCATAGTTCGGCACTCTTTGTCTGTGTTCTTAAATGGAGAGCTTTCCTCACTTCTATGGACTAACAGTATGCAAAGACACGTTAGTACCGTCTGTAAGTAAATATATCCGTGAGATTATTTCATCTCCACAACAAGTAAGCCTTAATTACAGCAAATTTACGAATTGCTCTAAATCTTATCAACAATTTAATAACTCTTTCTATGACCTTGACCCTATTTATGTTTAAATGAATATGCATGTTTCCCTGTCATCTACAATTTTAACTGAAAGGGTCATAGGTACTTACATACTGTGTTCACAAGAATAACAAGAGGCCCCTGGGCCACAACGCTCACCTGAGTAACTTTGGCCCTGCTGTTCTTCACCAGACTTTCCCCCATGTAAAACACCTCTTGTGGTCCTATCCTATCCCAGGGGTCATGATTTTAACAATTTATAATCTACACTACCCCAGGATACTTCCATATAAGTTTCAGCTTTTCTGGCCCAGTGGTTCTTGAGAAGAAGATTTTTAAAGATTTTTTCTATATATTTCAATGTAAAAAATGGATTCCCTATTGTGGCCCCGCCCTACCCCCAGGGATCCTTTTTTTTTTTTTTTTTTAAAAAATTAGAATCTACACTACCCCAGGATACTTCACATAAGTTTCAGCTTTTCTGGCCCAGTGGTTCTTGAGAAGAAGATTTTTAAAGATTTTTTCTATATATTTCAATGTAAAATTTGGATTCCCTATTGTCGCCCCGCCCTACCCCCGGGGGTCATGATTTTAACAATTTAGAATCTACACAACCCAAGATGCTTCCACATAAGTTTCAGCTTTTCTGGACCAGTGGTTCTTGAGAAGAAGATTTTTAAAAATTTTTTCTATATATTTCAATGTAAAATTTGGATTCCCTATTGTGGCCCCGCCCTACCCCCGGGGGTCATGATTTTAACAATTTAGAATCTACACAACCCAAGATGCTTCCACATAAGTTTCAGCTTTTCTGGACCAGTGGTTCTTGAGAAGAAGATTTTTAAAGATTTTTTCTATATATTTCAATGTAAAACTTGGATTCCCTATTGTCGCCCCGCCCTACCCCCAGGGGTCAAGATTTCAACAATTTAAAATCTACACTACCCCAAGATGCTTCCACATTAGTTTCAGCTTTTCTGGCCCAATGGTTCTTGATAAGAAGATTTTTAAAGATTTTTTCTATATATTTCAATGTAAAAAATGGATTCCCTATTGTGGCCCCGCCCCACCCCCGGGGGTCATGATTTTAACAATTTAGAATCTACACTACCCCCAAGATGCTTCCACATTAGTTTCAGCTTTTCTGGACCAGTGGTTCTTGAGAAGAAGATTTTTAAAGATTTTTTCTATATATTTCAATGTAAAACTTAGATTCCCTATTGTGGCCCCGCCCTACCCCCGGGGGTCATGATTTTAATAATTTAGAATCTACACTACCCCAAGATGCTTCCACATTAGTTTCAGCTTTTCTGGCCCAGTGGTTCTTGAGAAGAAGATTTTTAAAGATTTTTTCTATATATTTCAATGTAAAACTTGGATTCCCTATTGTTTCCCCGCCCTACCCCCGGTAGTCATGATTTTAACAATTTAAAATCTACACTACCCCAGAATGCTTCCACATAAGTTTCAGCTTTTCTGGCCCAGTAGTTCTTGAGAAGAAGATTTTTTAATGACCCCACCCTATTTTTGCCTTTTCTTGATTATCTCCCTTTGTAAGGGGGCTTGGCCCTTCATTTTTACAATTTAACTCCCCATCACCCAAGGATGTTTTGTGCCAATTTTTGTTAAAATTGGCCAAGTGGTTCTTGAGAAGAAGTTGAAAATGTGAAAAGTTTACAGACGGACGGACGGACAGACAGACAGACGGACGGACGACGGACAATGGGTGATCAGAAAAGCTCACTTGAGCTTTCAGCTCAGGTGAGCTAAAAACCTTTAATAATTTTAGGCTTGACCTGATTTCTTTTGACCAAAAGAAAATGCATATCTCTTCTGATCATCTACCATCCCTGTGCCACTGAATCCGCAGAATTGTTAAAGGCACATGGACACATTTGAAGTTTACAGTCTTCAAAATTTTTGGAAGAATTTAACGAATTATATACTGTATACAGGGAAATTTTCGCCCCCGTTTTATTTTCGCCCCTTTCGCCCTACCCTCATTTGGGCGAATTTAAAACGGGGCGAATTCAAAGAATACAGTATAATTTCTTAAACAAAACTATGAGTGGGCGAATTTAAAACGGGGCAAAATTGTTTATAAGTGTGAAAGGGCGAAAATAACCCTGTATACAGTATTGCAAAAGCCTATTAGGCTGATATATAATAAAAATCTATATAGAAACTTCTATGTGAAAATTATTTTGTAAAAACTACGGGCATGTTTGATTACCAAACATCCTTGCACTTTCGTAAACTAAAATTTATTCAAAATATTTAAGGAAAAGGGGCCCGGAAATCTGAGGTAAATTAGTAAAAGACATTAAAACTAGAATCAAGAAAAGTAAAGCCTAATGTGTAAGAAAGCAAATCCAGCACGCCAATGGTGTCAGTTTGTGGTCAGTGATGTGAGCAATGTCAGCAAATCGAACACACCTGGTAAAAGTAAACATTAAACAAAAAGAGTCGTGCCAATGTTTACAAATACAAGTGTTCAGTGTAAGGTTATAAAGATTGCCGATAACATTGAGTATTAAGAATCTTCATGTAAGCTCAAATAACGAAACTGAAGCTGTGTTTGAAATAAAAATAGAAATTTCAAATTTTAAACAGCAATGCAAATATTCCATGCGTCGCCCGCGTGGCGCAGTGGTTAGAGCGTCCGCTCTAGAGTCGCGAAGTAAGGAGTTGATCCTTACGTCGCGGGTTCGAATCCCACTGTGGGACGTGGAAGACCGGTCTTTTGGATGAGACCGTGTAAACCGAGGTCCCGTGTCGCAGTTGGTGCTGGCACGAAAAAGATCCCTCACTGCTCAATGGCCGTAAGTGCAGAGTATAGGACAAAATTTGCAGCTCTCCACCGGCAAGTGGTGGCGTCTCCATATGAGTGAAATATTCTCGAGAGGGACGTTAAACAACATACAAACAAACAAATAAACAAATATTCCATGCCCCTTTAAGAGGGATGGGTGACCAAGGCCATTTTTACTAAACTCGTATATACCCTTTTAAACCTCCTGGAAAGGAGGAGTTCTGCATTAAAATATAGTAAATTTCACTATTAAAGTTGACATCCCATCTCCACCCCCTTTTTACGAAAAAGTTGGGACTCGAAATTATTTAACCAAGAAATATAATTAACCTTCTATCAACTAAAGATACGGAATCAGAGATGAGGTAACCTCTGTAAACACCCAGAGGCCATGATGGCCCAGGAATCAAATACAGAACCGTCCACTTGAATTGTAGTTCTAATATTTTATTTATTTATTTATCTATTTATTTATTTATTTATTTTATTTTTATTTTTATTTTCTTTTTTTTTTCTTTTTTCTTTTTTTGCTAAATAATTATTATGTTAAGGCGTCTGGGTGGTCAACAAATTACCCAACAGATTCACCTTAACATATGTGAAATATGATATTTTTTTTGCAATACGCTACTATTTAGTACAGAGGAAAAAAAATCATATCTGGATTAAAAAGTTTCCAAATTATAACTCAACAATTCTTAAACACACTTTACATACTTTTTTTTTGGATCGTCAAGATAATTTAAAAAAAAAAATAGAATTGCGTCTCATATTGCTTTACATTCACAGGATACACTTTACAATATCTAATTACTACCAATTAACAATCATGTCAGCAGAGTCTGGATTTTGCCGCGAAATTTGCACTTTCGAAGCAAATAATTTGCATTCTCAAACAATTTGCATTCTCAAATAATTTGTTTGTTTTTTTTTTTTTAAAAAAGCATAAAATTACATCTTGAATGTAACTTTATTTATGCAAAGCTAAAAAGAACGAAAAAAATGTCCTACCTTCATTTTTTTTGTCTTGGTCAATGTTTATGAGCTTAATTTCTTAATGAACCTTGTTATTACTTTTTATACTAAAAGGTTTGAGGGCCGTAATTAGTTAACTGTCACCAGTGAAAGGTTGGATAAAAGTGGGCCCTCCAAACGGAATGAAACATACAGGGTTGGTCATCGACTCCCAAACTATTGGTCTACCGCTATATTTGGTCTGAGGTGGTCCAGTGAATAATTGTACCTTAGTGTCATTATTGTCAAGTATGAATATCTTGATAAATGGCAAGTTATTCTAACACATTTTTATTTATTTGCTCATATCCGGTAATTAGAGTAAACAGCCTCTAGCATGGCATGATGACTGGGCTTATGGGATGTGAATTGCGACCAAAAGAGTTAATGTAGTAGAAATGTATTGTCTAAATTCCAAAAAAAGATGATATTTGACTGTCTTTTTTATGATCGACAAACTTCACATTTTTTTGAGTTTGTTAGTTAACGGAAGTTATGGCTGATCTGTGACATTCTTTCTTTTACGAGGGTCATGTCATAAGTCAAAGCTCTACGTGTTATCTTTTGGGGGATTAAAGTTGCTTGATTCAACTGTTTATTAATGTAAACATATTTGACTACCCCCCCCCCCCCCCGGAAAAATATTTATCGTTTGCAGATAAAGGAAATACGAAATACAAATGGTCACTTCAGCATTTATCGAAAATGCAATTTTACAACCCTTCTAGACCCTATTGATAATGTAACACATTATTAAATCACGCGTATAACACTTGCAAAAGGGTGCACTTTTGAAACTTGTGTGAGAAAATGGCATCAAGGAACAGTACGTTTCTTGGTGTTTGGTTACGTAAAAATAGTAATATAACTGTAATTACACACGACGACCGACGAATAAAAAGTTTGATGTTTATTCATTGTATACACTCGAAAAACAAATTATGATAAAAAGATATGACAAATAAACAAAGCATTGCTTAAATAATGTTGTCACAACTTTGATATTACTTAATGAAGCAGAATACCTCTGACGGCACCTGACAGACAAACAGGTAAACAACTTAATTAAATTTGTTACAACTTTTATTATTTTCATGTTTGTAAATTCGCTCGAAAAATTCACTTAAAATCAAATAAAAGGAACAAGATATGTAAATAACCGCGTCACAAATTTGGGTATACTCAGTATATTATTTAGTTTTTGTTGAGACATTGGCTCCTTGGGGAGGTATATGGCGACCCTTTAATGTGGTGTGAAAATTAGCGAGAGGATTACACTAAGTGACGTTTCGCTTACCCCTTATTATGGTTTATAATTCAGTCTTAAAAGCAAATCGTTTCTACGAAATTAAAGGATTAAGCGTGGCAATGAAAAATA